CTACACCCAGCTACACACACACATAAACACACACACACACACAATACAGACAGAATCAAAAATATTATTTTTTAAAAGACCCATTTCTAGAATATCTAATAAACACTATTTATTGATTATTTGCAAAAAGAAGGGTAAATCATTCAAAGTTTAGTTTCTTTTCTTTCTCTTTTTGCAGTACTGACGATTGAACCCAGGTCCTCACACATAGTAGGTAAGACCTCTACCAGTCAGCTATACTTTTAGACCTTTTCATTTTAGTTTGAGACAGGATCTCATTAAGTTACCCAGACAGGCCTTACACTTATGATCCTCCTGCCTCAGCCTTCTTAGTAGCTAGGAAGTCTTTTTTTTTTTTTTTGGATTTTTTTTTTTTTATAGTTGTAGATGGACAGAATGCCTTTATTTTATTTGTTTATTTTTATGTGGTGCTGAGGATTGAACCCAGTGCCTCATGCATGCTAGGCAATCGCACTATCACTGAGCTACAGCCCCAGCCCAGCTTAGGAAGTCTTTGATAAGGAAAATTAAACAAATTAAACACACACACACACACACACACACACACACACACCCCCAATACAGACAGAATCAAAAAATATTATTTTTTAAAAGACCCATTTCTTAAAAAATTAAGGAATGAGAATTAATTGAAGAGTAAACATCTTGATTAAATATTTGGGCTGAGGATAGAGCTCAGTTGGTAAAGTGCTTGCCTTGCATGCACAAGGCCCTGAGTTCAATTCCTAGCACCATAAAAAAGAAAAAAAATCTTTTACTCATGTGCATTATACTATTGATACTACTGAAGATTGGAGTTATGAATTTACCACACCTTTTTAATATTCCTTTGAAATTCCTTATGGCGCACAGGTAGCGTATAAAATAATTGCTGCACACAGACTGACGTCCCTCTGGGTCGTGGGTAGGGGGTTTTCTGGACAATTTTCCCATTATGATCAAACACCAATCGAGTCCCAATTTTTGCAGATGTGTGGCAGGTAGAAATAGTTACATTACTGTAAGAAAACAGCAGGCATGGCTGTATAGTTAGAGATCACAAAGGTTAAACACAACACTACTTGATATATTTTCTTTCCTTGATGATCCCTCTGAGATATTCAAGAGAGTTTAAATGGGTAAAGAATTATAAAATCTAAGGTTTGACATACTGAGAGAGTTCTATAAATGCTGTTTTGATAAAAGCGTTGATTTAGTTTTTTTAGGCTGAAGTGCAAAAACAACACATGATGTCAAAATTTAGTCACAAATATTTTTCAGTTTTGTTACTACTGTTCTAAAAAAATTTGGTAAAATAATCCAAAAGATATTAAAATTCAAATGTATAAATAATTACAATGTTTTAAAATCTTAGAACAAATAAAAATAGAATCTTTTAGATAGAATAGAATCTTTAGAATTTTAGAATAAATAAGTGTTTTGGTTAAATCTTTTCCTAAAAATTGAAAGTAAATCAAAACCAGTGATCCCTATAATTTATTACCTGTGTTTTCTGTTTGTTTGTTTTTGCTGGAAATTGAACCCAAGGCCCCACCCATGCTAGGCAAGCACTCTACCACTGAGCTACTTACCCAGCTTCAGCATTACTTTAAAATTGAGAAACTACTGCTTTAAAATGGACAACAATGTTTTTTACAATACTGTTTGTTTCATTTCATCATTTATTGCTCAAGTTTCAAAAGATTATCATTTAGACTGTCAGATAAAAATTCAGAAGTTAGAGATTGAGACTTTCTGATAGGAAAGAGTAAATAAGGGCTGGGGCTGTAGTTCAGCAGTACAGCACTTTGCTAGCAACCATGAGGTACTGGGTTCCATCAAAAATCAGTTCCATCAATCAGTATAATGATTCTAATAATAGTGATTCTAATAATGATTCTAATCATACTTATCAATTTTCAAAAGAATTTGTATAAGGGTCAAGTTAATGGATAAAAATGCTGTTATCACCTCAGTGCACAAAGTGAGCTCAGAGCTTCCCCCCGAAAGCCAAAAGTTTCAACCTGAGTGAGGTCAGCGAACTCCTGAATCTTAGAAGTGTGATGTTTCAGAGCTGAAAAAAAGAGTGAAAGGTAAGATGTCTCAAGGATAATTAAATATACACAATGACTGGTTTTAAAAAGATGTGTTTCCTAAGACAGTGTTATTCAAAATTCTGAGACATTTGGCCCAATTATATCATATATTCAACTTACCAAGGCCTTCAAAATTTTCTTCTTCTACCCCACATCCATTGTCTGAAACTTCAATGAGATCCATTCCATAGTCTTTAAGCCTTAGATCTAAAAAGTTTAAAATATTTATTTCTCAAGATTGATCCATGCTGAAAAGCTTTTATGTATTAATATTTGCAATATATGATACAAATTTAAGTTATAACCATAAATTTAAACATACTACTGTCATTTTGTATATTTTATTTTTTTAAAGTCCTTTTGGGCTTTTTACTGGCCAAGATTCAATAATTTTTAAATTTTTTTTCTTTCAAAAGGAATGATTTTAACATAAGTCATTAAAGAGAACAGGCTCTGAATCAAGACTTCCTAGGTCATATTTTACTAGCTTTATAATCTAAAAAAATGTAAGTTCCTATGCCTTAATTCCTCACCAATATAATGGAGATAATAACATCTAACTCACAGTTATTCTGTATATTAAATGAAATATTCCATGTATAATTCTTAGCACAATGCCAGCCTGGCACGTAGTAAGAATATGGTAAAACTTAACCATTATTATTATTCTTACCACATAGTGCTAGTACAATAAATGGTAACTTTAACATTAAAATAGTAATTCATTGGTATATTAACACTTCATGGTTTTATTACAGTAACAAATGGTTCTTTAATGAAATTATATAAACTGATTATTTCTTGAGGCTTAACACTTTCCTAAACTTACCAATATTAGTAGCACCAGCATCCACACTATTTTCTACCAATTCTTTCACAGCAGTGCTGAGATTCAGTACTACCTGCCCAGAACAAATCTGATGAACTGACTTCCGGTCAATAGGTTTGATGGCTTTAGCAAGTTCCATACTAAAGAAAACAGTTATAAGAAACAAAACAAGTATTCAAACAAATCAAGTAATGCATTTTCACTCTGATATTAACTGTGGGAAATGACTGATCAGTTATTTAATGGACCTAACCCATTCATTTATTATATGAACATATTCATTTATTATATTCACAAACACAAATGTTCTATCATCCTTAAACATCTGCCAAAAATACTTTTGAATAGATGCTTCACATTCAATAGAGAATTAAATTAAATTATACATGAAACTACATGTAGGAAACATATATTCCTCAAGCTACAGGTCAATAATCTTTTACAAAGAGATCTTTCTTGAAAAGCAAAAGCAATATTGCCCATACAATTTGAAAAACTCAAAGTATGGTGGGAATAAACAATGTTTATGCCAAAACCATCTCAGAAACTGGAGTGCCAGTTGTCTCACTATTCCCATAGCTGCCTTCGAAACCCCAATCCAAATCCAAGCTGCCAGCTATGCCTTGGCAAAGATCCTCAAAGTCCTTCCTGTATTTGCTTTCAGAGTTTTACAACTATTTGGTCTCTAATCCATTCTCCATACTACCACCTATTATTTTTGAAGTCACAAATCTGGTCAGATAATTTTTAAAAATTTACTAGTGCTTTACTGCCTATTATATGAAATTTAAAATTAACCATGACTGGATCCCAATCTACCTTATTTTCTCATTCTCTCCCATCCTTCTCCCTCCATCAAGTCCCTACATTTTAGTCACAGTAAACAAGCAGTTCCTGTAATGGACAACCTCTTTTAGATCTTTTGCTCTGTTTGGAGTCTTCTCTCTAAAGTGCCTCACCCCCTTCCAGGCCAACTCCTTCTCATCCACACACACACAAAAAAAAGTATTCCATATCTTCATTAATATGTAGACATTTTCAACAAATGGTTCAACTCATCGGTTGGATAAAATAGAACACAGGAGCCTCCCAGGAGAAAAATCTTTGTATTTTCCACAGCATCTGAAACATACCTAACAGACCTTCAACAAATACTAAAACAGAATAAATAAACCAATTAACTCCCCCTTCTACCTTGCAAAGAATCTCACTTAACTTTACAATGTGCAACTGCAGATGACCTCGCAGAAAATGGAAAGTTATCTCTAAAAAATCAGTTTATTTGGCAATACATCATAGGCTGAAGGTCCATTTCAGGTACTCAATGTGAGGTGGGGGTCGGGTGAGGCATAACATTTAAATACAAACTGCGAATGTGCGTTGACATTGAATGCAACTGTGCCGACATCAGACTCGCTACATGTAATACGGTGTAACTTGCCAGCCAGAAATCAAATACTCAAAGGCCATGCAAATTAACATGCGCTATGAGCTAATCCTATCCCCAATTAGAGTCAGACAGACACCAGGTAAAAACGGAAATTAATTCAGTCTAGGTGGATTGCGTGTCCCAGACTCAGGTCCGCCTTCTAGTGACAGCATTTGGGGAGGCCCGCCCAGCGCGAGCCAAATCTATCACACTCAGGCGCCGACTCCCCACCCGCAGCCCGGGATCAGGAACTGGCGTCTGGCCTCACAGAACACCTTCACTGAGAACCCGGCCGGGGCGAACCTCGAACGCCGCTCCGGGCCGTGCTCGCCGCGTGCCTAGGCCATTTCCTGTCCTTTTCGGGGGCTGGGACGCCGTGGGGCTCCACAAAGGTGGCCCCCCTAGAAGACCGTGAGTCCCGCTCACCTGGGACCCTCAAGTCCTTCCATGGACCCTGAACACGACTCGCTTCCAGGACTGAGAGTTCCCGCTGCTGTTCTGACTCTGGCCGAGTTTCCCGGCTGCCCATTGGTGGACTTTGGTGCCAAGTCCCACCCCTTCCGGGCGGGGCAGCGAACGCTTCCCAGAACTCCTTCTCGTGGATTCGTTATATCAAAGGTCGAGAAGTGACGTCCAGAACGCCTGAACCAATTAGAACTCACGGACTACGTTTTCCCGAACGCCTCAAGCAGGGTCAGAAAGAAGGTAGCCGTAGTTCGTCGTGACCCCAGACGGTTTTTTAGCGTTCGTGTCCCACGCTCGCCACCTTCCTTCCTTTGGTTCCCGCCATGCCGATGTACCAGGTAAAGCCCTATCACGGGGGCGGCGCACCGCTGCGTGTAGAGCTTCCCACCTGCATGTACCGGCTCCCCAACGTGCACTGTAGGACCGGCAGCCCCGCGCCCGAGGCGGGCCACGTGCAGGTAGGAGTGCGCGGCCCCTGCCCAGTGCGCAGGCGCTGCGGCTGGGCCGCACCCCGCATCCCCCTCCACCTCTCCAGTGCGCAGGTGCTGCGTCGGCCCGGACCCGCCGGACCTGGCCAGGACCCACCTATCTGGGACAAACTGGGCGCTGGACCCGGCTGCCAGCCCCACTCTGGCCCCGCTCACCGCCCGGTCTTCGAGTCATCCTAAATTATATCTCTTAAAAGATCTATCTTTTCTCTACTTTTTTGGCATAAGACTTCTTAAGCATTTTTATTATGAAATTTTACCCACAGAAAAGTGGCTAATACGTAAATACTCATTTAAAGAATTAGCGAACTTCAAAGTCACCACCACCCCAGTTTGACACGCATTATCAGCGCCCCACCTTCCCATTTACAACTTTCCTCCAAAAGTCCTGACTGATGGTAGTAATGTCTTGCTTGTCCCTGCTGTTTTGCATGCTAAGTATACATCCCTATACAATATAGTTTTTTTTAAAACTTTTTAAAATAACTGTTTATTTATTACGTGGTGCTGAGGATCGAACCCAGTGCCTAACATGTGCTAGGCAAGCGCTCTAGCACTGAGCCACAACCCCCGCCCTACAATATAGTCTTGCTGTAAGTGAGGCATACAGTATCTTTCTGTTGTGACTGCCTTTCTTTTGTAGACGTGATTTTTAAGTGTAATTTTACTGCAACAGTGAAGTGTTTGTCTTCTCTGCAGTGTGATGTTCCACTGAGTGTCTATACCACCATTATTTTTCTTCCTGCTGCTCGTGGGCACTGGGTTGTTTTCCATTTTTCAGCTATTCTGAATAATCCTGCAGCGAATAGTCTTATTCATTACCTGACACAGGATATAAACTAAGAAATGGGATCATTGGCCCAGTGGGCAGATCAGTCTTCTACTTTACTGGATAAATGGCTTTCCAAAGTGGTTATACCAGTTTATCCTTTTACTAGCCTTGGAGAATTCTTCATGTTTGCACTCTTCACCAAGCTGATGGGAGTCTAATGAAGTCATCTTAATGTAGGTGTCCTAAGGTAGTTGTAGTTTGGATTTCTCCAACTTTAAGTAAATTGAATGCCTTTCCATGTTTTCTTGGCCATTTTGATTGCCTATCTTATAAGTATTTTCACTCTTTTATCGATTGCAAATGCATATCTGGATTTCTAGTAGCAAAAACATTCTGTCCATTCTGACAGGAGGTGAGTAAATAGATTTTTGTGTCAGTTTTCCCATTGTGTATTATCCTTCACTTTGTCGTAATGACTTTCTACCTAGATTGGAAGGAATGTTAGTTTGAAACCCAAGGACATTAATAATCGTTTCACTACAGAGCTAAGCCAAAAATGACAGATATGGTTCAGTGGTCCTTCAACTAGAGACTGCCACGGAGACATGGCCCCTTCAATTGCACAATCCAAGAGAACCATAAAAAAAAACCTGGAGAGGGATGTCATACCTTTTTTTTTTTTTTTTTTGGGGGGGGGGGACTGGGGATTAAAACCAGGGGTATTTTATTAGTAAGCTACATCCTCAGCCCTTTTTTATTTTTTTATTTTTTATTTTGTGAAACAGGGTCACATTAAGTTGCTGAGGCTAGCCTTGAACTTGTGATCCTCCTGCCTCAGCCTCCCAAGTCACTGGGATTACAGGTGTGTGTCACAATGCCTGTCTGTCATCTCTTATTTGAGACCCAAATTTTGTTCATTTAAATCTGCTGCCTGAATTCCTTTGGGCTTTAATCTATGAATTTATGACAGAAAACACACAGTCCTGCAGCTCTGGCAAATCCCTTAGCACATGTTAATATAGATATACAAATAATTAGAAACCAAGCATATCTAGAGCAAATGAGAGTAACACAAAGAAGCAGTTGCTTCTAAATACATATGAGATAAAACAAATGAGTACCAAGTCACAATCTCTCACCTCAACAAGGAAAACTAAGACCAGCACTGGAAGAAATCCATGAGATAAAGCAGATCTTGCAGATCTTGAGCATTTTGGCATTATTTAGATCAAGAAGGGCTAGGTCAACCTGTGCTGGGGCTCAGAAATCACAGACCATGTCACATGTACAGTTCTTACTTCAGACATTCCCAGAGTGGGTTGACTGAGTTTTTAATTTAGTTGCTCTTCTTTGGCCCTACTGGGTAAGTAGAAATGAGCAAAACTGTGTATGGGTTGGTTACAAGAGATTGGAAATGTTACTCAGGGGGAGCGTCTTCACATAACAGGATGTTATCCAGGGGCTAGTCCTACCTGTTGCATCTTGCATTCAAACTCACTTCCAGCCAGCACTTAATTATTTAAGTGGCACCCTTTATTATTATTTATTCTATCTAGAAGTCAGTGGACTTAAATTCCTTTGATGTCTAAAATCTTAAGAGCAACAAGCAAGGAGAAATGAGATAGTGCTTATTAAGTGCAAGCATAAGTAGAAGTTAATCAGACCACAGAGGAGAAAGTATTGCAGATGGAGGGAACAGCATGTGTGAAGATCCTGTGGTAGAAGGGAGCCTGGTGTTTTAGAAACTTATAATGGTGTGGTTTAAGTGCAGAATAAGGGAGAGAATTGTGTCGGAGACACCAAGATTCTAGATAATACAAGGTATTTTTTAAGCCATGTTAAAGACTTTACTTTTATTTTAAGAGTCTAAGCAATTCAACTTGTCACCACAGGGGAAATGGTGACAAGGTCCAAATTTGTTTTTAAAACTAATTAGTATTTTAAGGAATGAATTGGAGCAGCAGATCAGAATGGGTGCTATGTGACCAGTAAGGAAATTGGGCCAGGTGAAAAAAATGGTGGCCTGGCCTTGGGTGGTGATGGTAGAGGCAATCCTAAAAGCCAGAGGATTCCAGAAATATTTGGGAGGTAAAACTAGCAGCAGCACCTGGTGACAAGTTAGATATAAGAGAGAGGGAGGTATGACTGGTGGGGGAGCAGATGTTCCTAAGAAAATTGAACTTGGCTGCACACAAATGTAAGCAAATACTCCTCCACTCCCATTGTATCACGAGTATTTAATTATAATAAACTCAAAGTCACTGCCACTTTTTTGATTATTCTATCTAATATGAGCATTTTCCTGATGCTGAATTTATTTGTTTGCTCAACTCAAAATGGATTATCTGTTGTGAGAACTCACAAATCTGTCAACAGGTTGTATGATATGATTGTGGGGAGGTTACTTGTTATTGCCTTTTAAAGTACATCTGTAGGACATATTTCTCAGCGAATATTATTGGTTATTTTCTGTGTACCAGACAGTGTACTGTGTAAAAAGAATGCTGCTGGGTGTGGTGGCACATGCCTATAATCCCAATGACTTGGGAAGCTGAGACAGGAGAATCACAAGTTTGAGGCCAACCTCAGCAACTTAATGAGGCTCTGTCTCAAAATAAAAAAGGGCCAGGAATGGAGCTAGGGTTGTGGCTCAGCGGTAGAGCGCTCGCCTAGCATGCCCAAGGCCTTGGGTTCGATCCTCAGCACCATATGAAAATAAATAAATTAAATAAAGGTATTGTGTCTAACCAAAAAAAAAAAAAAATTCACACCCTGCTGAAGGAGTCTTCTTAAATTCTGTCTGTGCTCCCTTTTCCCTTCTGTCAGTGTAAATTATTAAGTTAGTCTCATTGTTCCCTTCCACTCTTTGTTAACTAATGTAAGTATTTTTAATTACTTTATTATTAAGAATAGAGAGTGTTGGGTGCAGTGGGAGGCTAAGGCAGCTAAATTGCTTGAGCCCAGGAGTTTAGGGCCAGCCTGGGCAACATGGTGAGAATGAGTCTCAAAAAACCATTAGCCAGGTGCCTACAATCCCAGCAGCTCAGAAGCTGAGGCAGGAGGATTGTGAGTTCAAAGCCAGTCACAGCAAACTCGAGGCAATGAGCAACTCAGTGAGACCCTGTCTCTAAATAATAATAATTATATATATGTATGTATATATATATATATATATATATATATATACATACACACACACACATACACACACACACACATACATACATACACAAAATAGGGCTGGGGATGTGGCTCAGTGGTCAAGTGTCCCTGAGTTCAATCCCTGGTACCCCTACCCCCCAAAATTATAAAGTGATTTGTGTTCATTTTCTACCCTTCTCTATTCTTGGACAAAATTACCTGAAATAGGAATCAGACAATTTCAAAGTGACTTTAAGTCACAATGTTTCTCCCTTATTTTAGAGCATTTGTGGATCTATTTGGAGAACCTGTTAGATGGGAGGGTTGGGGGATGAAATGATTTTGCTGATTCATTGTAATGGCTTTTAAAGAGTGGCGAGTGCATGGGACAAAGTAAAACAAGTGATCAAATGTAGGCCAACTGTGTGGATGTTGGTTTGTTTAGGAAGCATCTGACCCCTCTCTGCAAGCTCTTGAGTCCCGCCAAGATGATATTTTAAAACGTTTGTATGAGTTGAAAGCTGCAGTCGATGGTCTCTCCAAGATGATTCACACACCAGATGCAGACATGGATGTGACAAACATCATGCAAGCTGATGAGCCCACTACTTTAACAACCAATGCATTAGATTTGAATTCAGTGCTTGGAAAGGTAGGTTCATTTTGAAAGCTGAGTGACAGTGTATGTGTTGGATAGTTGTTTGTGCCAGAAAAATCATGCCAGTGTGATTTTTGCCTTGCTTTCTAGTTCTCAAAGGTAGAGCAAGGAGCATGTTCTTTTTTTCTCTAAATAATTGTACCTTGGCACAGAACAGGTTTAGAAGGCAAGAGTGAAGCCAACGCAAGCTCCAAAGTTCCTTCTTAATTTCTCAGACCCTGGGGAGAATGGGAGGAGCAGTAGGCAGAGAGAGACAAGTTACAGTTTCCTGAGGGTCCAAGGTCTGTTTACCAGCCTTAGAGTCCTGAAGTACAGGTCTCCACTTATTTATGAGTCTTCTCAGAGGCTCAGTAGTGGCAGCCTTAACGTTTTGAGAGAAGCATTGGCTGCCCAGGCACGTGTATCTCACCAATCCTTTTGAGATACATTACTGAAAGCTGGTCCCACATTCTGTTTCCTGCATATTTTCTTCAAATTCAGTTTGCTGTGTTAGAATATTCCTTGTCAGCCAGCTTTCATGATTGAAGTTTATAGGTTTCAGCTAATTTAGGGGAATAATCTGCTAAGCAAAGAATGTCTTATTAAAAGCTGGTATTTAGGGCTGGGGCTGTAGATCAGTGGTAGAGCACCCAACTGGCACCTGTGAGGCACTGAGTTTGATCCTCAGCACCACATAAAAATAAATAAAGATATTGTGTCCAACTACAACTAAAAAAAAAAAAACTGGTATTTAATTGAGGGTTCAAAGGGTTTGTCCCAAAATTCCCTACTGTATCTATTCCTCTGCCCACCCATTCTGTACTGACTTCTAAAGGAGTCCTGACCAGGCCCCCAGCACAACAGAACAGTGATTTCTCAGTGTGTGGCATTTTGATACCTCTGAAGGCACAGCATCGAGTAATGTGATCTTTTTGGGGAACTGCAAAGTGTTCTGTTTAGCTTGGCGTGAAGGACATCAATCCAACGTGGCAGGCTGTGTGCAAAAGGTCAAGGAATCAGGTTATGATTGTCTACATGAATTGTGTTTGTTATTAAGAGCAAAAGCATAGAAATAAGAATGTCAACCTCTAAAAAATGACTGTAGGTATAGCTGTGTTCAGTGGTATGTGCCTATAATCCCAGCCATTTGGGAAGTCAAGACAGGGGGATCACAAATTCAAGGCCAGCCACAGCAACTTAGTAAAGCCTAGTGAGACCCTGTCTCAAAATAAAAAACAAAAAGGGCTGGGGATGTAGCTCAGTGGTAAAGTTTCCCTGAAAGCATTCAGTCCCCAGGACAAAATAAGTAAATAAAAAGGCTGCAAGCCTTGGCACTTTGGTCAGCACTAAGGATGCAGAATGTCTTCTCCCCTCTTCGGCAGTGACCTCTGGAGCCAAGACCCTTTTTCAAGGGGCACTTCATTGAAACACCTTGATGAACACAAATTGGTATAGAAACCCTATGTGTGGTCATTGTTAAGATTGGTAGCTGGAGGAATTACACATTGATTGTTTTTAACTTGGTTTTATCTCAGAGATAAAAAAGGACAGACAGAAATGTCATCCCCAATGTTGTTTTGTATTTGACAGTAAAGTCTACTTTCTAATCATGGGGAGCCAGCAGTGGAGAGCTTAAGACATGGAGTCAGCCACATCCAGCCTCCACTTCTGAGCTCAGTATCCTTTTAGAAGTTACTTGCCTCACCAGGACTCAAGTTTTCCTGGCCGTAAGGTGGGATCCTAACAGTACCTCCTTTGTGGGAGCCAGGGATTCAGTTCAGTAATCCTGGCAATATCCCCTGGCACATGCTCTGGATGGCTGTGTTGTTCTGGTCTCTCTCCTAGGACTATGGAGCACTGAAAGACATCGTGATCAACGCAAACCCTGCCTCCCCTCCTCTCTGCCTGCTTGTGCTGCATAGGCTGCTCTGTGAGAGCTACAGGGTGCTATCCACTGTGCACACACATTCATCAGTGAAGAGTGTGCCCGAGAACCTTCTCAAGTGCTTTGGGGAACAGACTAGGAAACAGCCCCGTCATGAGTATCAGCTGGGCTTCACTTTAATTTGGAAGAATGGTGAGTAGAGGACAGAGTTAACCTTCACATATGAATAGATAGGCCACAAAGGGACAGGACACTACAGCAGAGTGGAGCTGCTTGTCATCGGGTCAGATCCTCTCCATATAGAAAACTTGGGGCAGTTCTAGAAGTGGAACAGAGATGAATCTTGACACAGGATGCCCTCATTGCTCTAGGTGGTGAGGATTTTCAGTGAGAGACAGTTCCAGGTGGAATCTATCCAACCAGGCAGAACTGAGGTGAAGCAACATAGTTGACCCTCTCCTTCTAAAAAACTTATGCCAGGGACACTTTACTTTTCGTACGGCCCTTGAAGGGTGTGTCACTGACCTGTGTCCTGTTTAGGTTTATAAGAGGGCGGTGAGTTAATGCCCTTCATCAGTAATGACTTCACTGCCCTCAGCTCCACGAGTAGAGAAGTTATGAGGGCAGAGTCCCTGTCTAAGGCTGTAGGACTCCCAGTTTCCTGTCCTCAACTTCCAAATCCCTTGGCAACAGAGGTTGGGGTAGATGGTCTAATAAGGTCCTTACAGCTTGAAAATTGTCAAAATCAAATAGCAGAAGGGCTACTTGGGTATGTTTTGTTTGTTTTAATATATTTTTTAGTTGTATATGAACACAGTACCTTTATTTTTCTGTGGTGCTGAAGATGGAACCCAGTGCCTCACATGTGCTAGGCAAGTGCTCTACCACTGAGCCACAACCCTAGCCCTTGGGTATGTTTTTAACATACAGTTTGCATTTAAATGCTCTTGGAGGTGTGAAAAATGTGATGTTCTTGAAAATACTTTCCCCCCTTGCAAGTTTGTGATTATTGGTGACTTCCCCCTTCCAGACAGCACAAGTACCTCCCTCAGCAGCTGCCACTCACATGCTGCCTGTTGTGTTTCTCCCTTTCAGTGCCCAAGACTCAAATGAAGTTCAGTGTCCAGACAATGTGCCCCATTGAAGGAGAAGGGAACATTGCACGTTTCTTGTTCTCTCTGTTTGGCCAGAAGCATAATGCTATCAACTCAACCCTCATAGATAGCTGGGTAGATATCGCTATTTTTCAGCTAAAAGAGGGGAGCAGTAAAGAAAAAGCAGCTGTTTTCCGCTCCATGAACTCTGCTCTGGGGAAGAGCCCGTGGCTGGTTGGGAATGAGCTCACCGTGGCAGATGTTGTGCTGTGGTCTGTGCTCCAGCAGACCGGAGGCTGCAGTGTGACGGCACCAGCCAACGTGCAGCGGTGGCTGAGATCATGTGAAAACCTGGCCCCCTTCAATGCTGCGCTCAAGCTCCTTAAGTGAATTTCAACAACTGGTTTTAAAGGATTTTCATTTTAAGAATGGTGCTGCTTCATGCCTATTGTCAATAAGGGGACTTGTACTAGAATCAAAGTCTTTATATTAGGACAATTTTCAAATATCAATAAAAGCATCACATAACTTACGGGTTTCATTTTATTTAAAATTCATTAAAACTGTGTGCAGTATGCATGAGGACTGCAAACTGTGGGAGGCACATCAGATCACTGCCTCAGGAATGTAGGCTGTTGGGGAAGCTGAAGGCCAGGGCAAAGGCAGGAAAGGTGGTACTGCTGTCCTCAGGTCACCTAGGTGCAAATTCAAAACTCTCTGGGGCAAGTGTATAGAATGATGCGGAGTTGGAGGTGCAAGAAGAGAGGTAAGTTGGAGATGGTGCAGAAAAACGGAAGTTCCACCTTAGAAGCAGCCAGAATCAGCAGGTGGTTTTGAGCCAAGGAGTGATGCAATAAGGTGTCTTTCTGGTAACTAGCTTCAGCAGCAGTGCCACAGGGCTGGGGAGAGTAGCACCTGCTGGAATGTGACAATCCAGCTGGCATGCAGGCCTCCACGTGGGCAGTGGAAAAGGGAGAGCACCCTTGGATTTCTATAGTAGAACCTTCTGGAGGAGGACTGGATGGCCAATAAGCAGAATTTAAAGAGGAATTACTGAGTGATGCTTAAGTTTTTAGTTTCAGAATCTGAGCAGAAATATTTAAGTAGGAAACTCAGGAAAAGAAGCCTGTAAAAGAGAAGAGGGAAAGAGCAGAACAGGTTTAAGGTAGAGGGGCTAGAGATCTGGCTCAGTAGTAGAGCCTTTGACATGCAGGAGGCTCTGGGTTCAATCCCCAGAACCACACACAAAAAAAAAGAAAGAAAAATTAATTTAGAGCAAGCTTAGATCATGAAAGAGCTACTTAAGGAAAAGGCAGCTGGGGGTACTTTTATATCTTTAATAAGTCTTCTACAGGTTTCCTAAATACAATTAAGAATTATACAATCTATACCCTACTGAAGATTGAAAGTTTACATTCCAGTTGCTTATTCTAAGAAGTAAGTCCACTTTCATATTACTGATGTAGCCTAAATTAAGGCTAGACAGGTAAGCTCCCATTTTACATGCCATCTTTTCTTTTCTCCCTTCCACGCAGCCACCCGGCTCTTAGAGCCTGGCCTGTGCCTGCTACGCTTTGAAAGAGAGACAGAGCCTGGCAGGAGGGGACCTGGGTGCTTGGGTGGCCTCAGGTTTGCAGGTCATCCTTAACACCTCTGTCTTGAGAAAGAAGGCTTAGCTGTTTCTTTAGTTCTTCAATTTCTTTTTCTTGCTCTATTATCTTCATCTGTAGGGTGAGATTAACCTGGAAAGAGAAAATGTTTAAGTTCCGTTAAAATGGCTCAGTGGTAGAGGATACAGGCAGCCAGCCTGCCTGAGGCCCTGGTGATCCCCCACACCACAATAAATAAATAAACAAAACAGTAACAGGCAGTTGCTTTGCCTAGTTCCAGTATACATGATTCCAGTTTTCACAGATTAAATATCACCAATCACCCAAATGCATGGCTCCAGGGTCAGCTGCCATGATATGTACTAACTACAACTGTGTATAACTTTCCTCAGCTCCCAAGGTACTGTGTAAATGAACAAAGCACATTAAGATAAGGGGCCAAACTTATCTTTGAAAATCTATCAGTGCTAGATCACTATACATCTGTTAGTTAACAACAAGTGATTGTGTTGCCTCCCTGTCTTCCAGTGAGGAACCTACCTAACATTTTTTTAAAATGGGTAATGAAAGAGCATACTGGCCAACAAATATGAAAAGTGTTAATGCTGGAAGCAAATATGAATCAAATGTAAATGGGGGATAGAAGAGTAGCCTGGTTGCAGGAATGGGGACACTATCAGAAAAACACTAGATGTGTGCTCACAGAATAAGAACAGATTTCAATCTAAGTTAGGAAACAGGTGATCTACCAGCAAAAAAACATACTCTCAGAGATGTTTCACAACACTAAAAAGAGAAAGGGGGGTAGCATGACAATTAACCAAGTGACAGAAAACAAAAGGTGCTTGCTCCATATCCCATGCTACCAAATGAAGGAGGCAGGCACTGTTCACACTATTCCTGGAACTCATTAACATTCTTTATTACTCTGCACTATCTTTTTTTACGATCTTTTTCATTTCAGTGTGAAAATTTTAATGTTTTCAAACTTTAAAGATCACAGAACAATTGTAACCTTTCCTATTGATTATAAAGATCCCTTGGCATGTTTTAACTTTGTAGTCACTTTTACAGTCCCATACCACCATGCAAAGAAAGGACTGCCTATGTACAAACCATACATGTACAAGATGTGTGGGGTTTGTTTTTGTTTTGTTTAATAAAACCTTACAAGATGGGAGGATCTTTTTCCATAAGTACCAAATAACTATCAATTCTAATAGCTCCTGACTGGATGCTAGAGAATCCTTCCTTAAGAGGATAAATGCCTATGCTTGGTTTTAAAAGAACCACACTTGAGGCTGGGATTGTGGCTCAGCGGTAGAGCGCTCCCCTAGCATGGGCAGGACCCGGGTTCAATCCTCAGCACCACATTTTAAAAAATAAATAAATAAAGGCATTATGTTGTGTCCATCTACATCTAAAAAATAAATATTAAAAAAAAAAAAAAAAAAGAACCACACCTGGGGCTGGATTTGTGGCTCAGTAGTAGAGCACTTACCTAGCATGTGTGAGGCCCTGGGTTCAATTCTCAATAAAATAAAGATTTTTTTTTTTTTTAAAGAATCACACCTGCTACTTTCATTTTCTCAAAGAAAAGTATCACATCTACCATTTTACCATTTAAACTAATAAAATTTATTTTTAATTGAAAATTAATATGCTTTAAATAAAAGAAAAATCAACTTCCTGATTTTTCTCCCCTTTGGCTGCTAGGGAAGGAACTCAGGGCTTTATGCGTGCTAAGCATACCTCTACCACTCATTCACGCAAATATCCCCTATGGATTCTTTTAAACAATCATTACAATTGATTTCCAAACAACTGCTATCAGAATCACTTCAAGAGTTTGTTAAAATACAAACTGCTGCCCAATCCCAGAACTCCTTTCCTTCCCTTGTGCCTATTTTTTTTTTTGGTACTGGGAATAAACTCGGGCACTTCACCACTAAGCCACATCCCCAACCCTTTTTATTTTTTTATTTAGATACAGGATCTCGCTAAGTTGCTGAGGCTGGTTTTGTAGTCACAATCCTCCTGCCTCAGCCTCCCCAGCCACTGGGATTACAGGTGTGAGCCACTGTGCCCAGCTCAGAATTTATCTTAACAGGTTGGGAGACTGGTGAGGGCCTAAGAATTCTACCAAATTCCCAAGAGATTTTCTTCTGCTGACCTAGAGACTAAGAAAACTTCCACACTCACAGACTGCTGCACAAACACTTGTTTTAATTACTTGGGAATCTTGCGAACATGCAGATTTTCACTGAGAATGTTTGTGGAGCTCCCAGGTAGCACTGATGCATGCAGCTGATCTGAGGACCATACTTTGAGCAGCAAAACACTACACAATGTGTGAATATATCTTTGACTCAAGCTTTAATTAAATCTTAGAAAGTTTCTTGCCCCACCCCAACCTTTCCTGAGGATTGAACCTAGGAGTGCTTCACCACTGACCTACACCCCAACCCCACCTTTTTTTTTTTTTAATTGAAACGGGATCTTGCTAAATTGCCATGGCTTCAAACTTATGATCTTTCTGGTTCAACCTCCTCAAGCTGATGGGATTATATGTGTGTGCCACTGTGTCCAACTTAAATCTTACAAGTTTCTAGAAGAACAAAATGGATGAATTACCTACTGGTTCCAATATACGCAGACTAGTGACTATACCTGACACTGTGAACATGGTCAGGAAGGAGGAAGGGAATGGGATCCCCTGGAGAACACCATATCACAGGGCTGAAAACCAACACTGAAAGCTCTCCTTGTGGCAAAGGTTTTATCTGCCACCACTGTTCCATCTACTCCTTAGAATTATTACTCTCTTTTGCCCTTTGATATGTGTCCCTTTTTATTAGTGGACACTTTTATAATAATTTAGAAAAGGTTCATGATTGAAAAGGAAAAATAAAAACCTTCTTACTGACTTACTAGCAAGATGAGCCTAAAAAGTGAAACTTAGTTTTAGACTGGAAAGCTGGCAGTGAGTCAACTCATGTAAACCCCCAATACAAGTGTGCTACAGTATAAGCTTACACTTGTTATGTTGTTAGGAAACCCAGAATGGGCTTAAGGTTTCCAAAAACCTTAACTGAAACTCAACTGATCTTCATGAAATAGGATTCACAATTAACAAATTCTATTCAAGCTGGATACTTCCCCCAGAATTAAAAAAAAATTACGTACATTTCCGGAAGTTTGGAAAAGTTCACTCTGCAGCAGCTGAAGAGCAGATGGTCTCTGAGATGCATTCCTCCTAGTTAAGTGCTGGATATACTTGGCTTGTACTGGACACCTTTTACTGAGGGATTCAGGTATGTGACCAGTTCTTACTCCTGTTAAAACTGCTGCTCGCTCCATTTCTGTCCCAAAGGGCTGAAAGAGTTCAAGCAGGATCACACCCAAGCTGTACATATCTGACTGGAAAAGAACAAAAAATGGGGTTCAAGAATACAATTTGAAGTTAGAATGGCACTTCCAAGGCAGTTTACACTCTCAAACAAGCAAGGATTTCTAAGAATGAGGATTTACAGCCACAGACAGGAATACAACAGGAAGGCCCATGCTTTACAGAGACAAGTGTCTATCCCAAGCAAGAGGTAACCAGGATTTTCACAGCCTGATCTCTTTAATACCCAAAAGGGGCACCCCTAGGCATGCAGGATTGGTGGTCAGTGAAAGGACAGCAATATTTCCCACCACCCACAGCAATCATAGCCGTACAACTATCTCCACCATCCATGACAATCCAGGCCTGACGCAGGCAGAGCAACATAAGCTTGTGACTGCTAGTGCCATCAATACAGGACTATCACCAGGTCCTTTTCTGGTTTAACCTCTACCTATACTCTAAGCATTCCTGGTAATGTTTGCAAATTCTGCATAAGATCTGTGCTACTGGGCTGGGGCTATAGCTTAGTAGTAGAACACTTGCCTAGCATGTGTGAGACACTGGTTTTGATCCTTAGCATCACATAAAAATAAACAAAGGCATTCTGTCCATTTATAACTACAGAAAAAAAAAAAAAAGAATCTGTGCTACTGCTAGGAATGATGGCACACACCTGTAATCCCAGCAACTCATGAGGCTGAGGCTACCCTGAGCAGCTTAACAAGGCCTTGTCTCAAAAAATAAAAAGGGCTAGAAATATAGCTCAGTGGTAGTGCCTGGATTCACACCCCAGGACAAAAAGGGAAAGAATGAATTACTTTCCCTAAAAACTAGTTTTTTAGGATGGTCTTTACCAGATAAGCTTTTAGAGACAGCCATGGTTTCTTCTGCCAGTTCTTTCCCAATAGCTAAAACACTGATGGATTCCTCAAAAAGAAGAAAAATGAATAGACTTATTTTGAAAAGAGAATTTACTTTAACGCTTCTTTAAGGAAAATAAAAGATACTGGGCACAGTGGCGCACACCTGTAATCCCAGAAGCTCAGGAGACCAAGGCTGGAGGACAGTGAGTTCAAAGTCAGCCTCAGCAATTTAGAGAAGCCCTAAACAACTCAGTGAGACCCTATCTCAATAAAATACAAAAAAGAGCTAGAGTGTGGCTCAGTGGTTAAGCATCCCTGGGTTCAATCCCCAGTACCAAAAGAAAAAAAAGGCTTCCCTGTAGCATTTATTTACATAAGCTTGAAATGAAAAGCTGAACAAATGCCTCTAAGAATTCTTACTTCCTGAATTGAATGGTGACATTTTAAAGGGGAAAGTTCACTTCAGGAACAATTTGAGACATCCATGGAGTTAGAAATAGTAAAGTAGCCTAAAGGGCAACACAATCAGATTCAGGTGAAAAGTGAGGCTTCTTACTAGAGCAGCATGGTTAGTGGGTCACCTGCAGGGATATTCTCTCCAGACATTTCTACTATACAGCTTCTGCACTAACTGTCCTATTTGATAATTAATGATTGCAGAACAACTCAAATGAAAAAAAAAAGCAACAAATCCTACCTTGGCATCGTACTCAGATCCTTCCAATTGCTCAGGTGAGGCGTACAGACAAGTACCCACTCTGGAAGTATGTGTTGGTGTTCCTACAGTTGAAAAAGCACATATTAAACACTAAGAGTTAACACTGTCAACATTAAGAAATATGATAAGCAGGGGACTGTAGCTCCTACAGGGACAACAGCTATATTTTGTTTTTAATCTTAGTTTTGTTATTACATTTTTATGATGGTCTTTAAATACCAACATGTTTGACCATGTTCCTTTTTTAATGCAAAAACAAAAAACTGCTTACCCTTCCCATTTCTATTGGTCCAATCTGAATTCTTCTGTATGATGTCTGTGCAGGCCAGGCCAAAGTCTCCTATTTTCACTTGCTGATCAGGACCATGAAGAAAAATATTTCTAGGCTGTACACAAACACAACATGTCCACTCCTTACTTTTCTTAAAACAAATAGTGAAGACTCATAAATGTTAAGAGCTATTAACTCTGACACAGGATACAATGGGACATGCCTGTAATCCCAGCAACTCTCAAGAGGCTGAAGCAGGAAGACGGCAAGTTTGAGATCAGCCTAGGCAACTTAGCAAGACCCTTTCTCAAAAACAAAATAAAAAGGGTTGGCTATGTAATAGTCAAAAAAAAAAAAAATAAAAAGGGTTGGGGATGTCAACATCTGTAGGTTGAATTCCCTAATACCACAAAAAAAAAAAAAAGAAGATGAAGAAGATAGCAACTCAGAAGTAAGCAGCCCTGTCAAAAATTAAAACTTTAAGCAACAGTTCTCAAATTTGGCTGTATGTTAGAATTATCAGAGGAGTTCATAAGAATCTCAACATCCAGGCTGGGTTGTAGCTCAGTGGTAGAGTGCTTGCCTAGCATGTGTGAGGCACTGGGTTCGATTCTCAGCACTATACATAAATAAAGGTCCGTCAACAACTAAAATTAAAAAAAAAAAAAAAGAATCTCAACATCCATGTCATTCCTCATACCCACTAAGTGAAAAACTGGATGGGGCTGGATGTAAGTCCCAAAGTCCCAAAGGTATTTCACATTTAGAATTATTAATGTAAGAGCATGCTTTATACCAAGACAAGTGCTTCTTGACCTTGTCTGTGTGTTATCATGTGAGAAGCTTTTAAGAACTGTCCTCTAATAGTCAAAGACTGATATTTTTCACGAAAAACTTCGGGAGTTTGCTGTTTTTTGGTGGCGTAGGAAGTGTTATGAATTGAACCTAGGGTCTTGTACATGCTAAGCACACTTCCCCAGGCCAACTTTTTTTTTTTTTTTTGAAAACAGCATCTCGCTATTTTGGCTGATCCCAAACTCCCAACCCTTCTGCCTCAGTTTCCCCCAGCCACAAAGCCCAACAAATTTGGTATTTTTCATAAGTTCTCACATATCTTATATGTTAGTTAGGGTTGGGAACAACAATTATCACACTATGAAGACAAACATTTGATATATTTAAGCAATCTTCACAGATCCAAAACATCTTCCAACCACACTATTCCTACACCAGTGAAAAACTGCATCTAGCCAGGTACAGTGGCACATGTCTGTAATCCTAGCTACTGGGGAGGCAGAGGCAGATCTGATAGGATAGCAAGTTCAAGGCCAGCATCAGCAATTTAGCAAGGAGAACTATCTCAAATTTCAAAAGGGCTGGGGATGTGCTCAGTAATAGAGCACTTCCATAGCATATGTGAGGCTGTGGATTTGATCCCCAGCACAGCAAAAAAAATGAAAAAAAAAAAAATGCACCTATATGGGGAAAGAAGATTCTACTAAAATTAATACACACACACATACACACACACACACTTGGATTGAAAGTTGTTTTCTTGGGATGGGATTGTGGCTCAGTGGTATACAAGAACAAGAGGACTTGCTTCACATGTGTGAGGCACTGGGTTCAATTCTCAGTACCACATATAAATAAATGAATAAAATAAAGGTCCATCAACAACTAAAAAAAAAATTTTTTTTAAAAAGTTGTTTTCTTACTTTTAAATGTAATAATTTGATGTTAATATATAAATACCCTGTTTAGTTCTGTTAGTTGTTTGAACTAAGTTATCTGGAAGAGAAAGCAGAAATAAGTGTAAGATGACAGTTAAAATGTTTTTGTGACTGTGTAGAAAAGCCTAAATACTCTGCTGACATTTGGTTCTATGCAATCAGATAACAAAGTCTGAAGAGGTTTGGCTCCAATTAAAAAATGAACTGTATTCACAAATATAATCCTCAACAATTCTAGAATAGTTCTAGAACTGCACTAAAGGGATCATCATAAAGAAACAAATTGATTCCATAACAGCAATTTCCCCTGAACTCACAAGTCTCAAGATTTTCTGATGGGAAATATAACCAAGAAGGGAAGCAGAAACCTGGTAGTTGACAGTACCAAGTCACTGGAGGACAGCTCAACCACAGCACTGCACACTAAGCTTTACGAAGCCATAATCAAAGATGACTGCACTACAATCAAGGCACTTCTCAGAAACCACCATGTCAACCAGCCCCTGACTATTCTGGCCAGCTCCACCAGCTATAGATTACATCTGAGCCAGGTACCCTCTTTTATACTTAGTCACTTTTAGATAAAAGAGGGAGGAACATGATCTAACACTTGTGAACTATCTAAGCTCTTTGCTGCCCTAACAAAACATGTGGCTCAGCCACTAACCAGCCCATCCCCCTACAGGGCAGAGTGCAGGTCTGCAAGACCTCCCTTCCATTCACTATGTGTAAACTAATGGAAGAAAAGACTAGAACTTATTTGGCTCAAAGAACATTAGATCACCCTTCTCAAAGATAACCCTTAGTAAGGCCCTTAGCAACTTAGTCCTGTCTCAAAATAAAAAAATAAAAAGGGATGAGGACATAGCTCAGTGCTCAAGCACCCCTAGGTTCAGTCCCCAGTTACCATTTAAAAACAAAAAAGGAGGGGCTAGGGTTGTAGTTCAGCAGTGGAGCGCTCACCCAGCAGGTGCGAGGCACTGGGTTCCATCCTCAGCACCACATAAAAATAAATAAATCAAATAAAGGTATTGTATCCAACTACAACTAAAAAAAAGAAAAATTTTAAAAAAAAGGAAGTCAGCTTCACTTTTCCTCCTCTCCCCCATATCTTACAGCCACAGTATAAAACCACACATTTCTCTCTCTCTCTCTGTGTGTGTGTGTACACATATTTTTTTAAGAGCTAGCATAAACAGCTCTGCTAATCATAGACAGAACATATGCTACGTTATCTTTGAAACCCCAAAAATGCAAGGTTTGCTACTGATGATATGACTTTGGTAAAGCCTTAAACCCAGCACCTACTTGCTTGTCACTACAATTTAAGGATAAATAACTTTAGAGCATTAATTTTACACTATGAGTTCTTCACAAAGATACAGCTTTCAAAGTCATGAGTGTTGCCTTGATAAATTTGCATTTCTGTAAAATACAGATTCTATAATATGAAATCCCCTGGATACTGGTCATTTAAAATAGACAATAGCAAAGGAAAATTTCAACACATATGCCAGAATACTACTGAACCAATGTAAAACTAACATACTTGGTTCCCTTGGAATGGCAAGCTAGCACAAATTGTGCTTTTAATACATTTTGGTCTCCCCACAGCAAACACAGTCCATTATCCCAATTCATCTGGCCGCAGAATACCACAAGGCACCAAGTTTGCTCTGTTTGTTAGAACATGGAGCTGATCCAGAAGTAAGGTAAGTGAATTTAGCAGGCCATCTAAAGTGACCATCTGAGTGACTCAGAGGTTATCTATCCTAGTTACTTAGGGGCTTGTTCATTCTTCATGGGTTATGAACTACAAATCATCATGTTTTGAATGAACCTACTTCTGTTATGACTAGATGATATACTAGAAAAATTGGAGAAGATGCAAAAACACAAACCAGACAGCCAAATTAATGCACACTGAGTATTAAGTGCTCAATAACAGTATTGTGGAAAATACATTAAGTTCTGGCCAGAGCCCTCAGGAAGTCTAATAACCTAAGAAAAAACAAGACAATGGGTTTTCTTGTTTATGACTCTCCATTAGAAGGTAAGCTTGATGACAGAGAAATTTATCCTCCTCACTACTCCATCTCCAACACCTAAACCAAATGCCTGCCACTGATAGACCCACTCTCAATCTCTCCTTGCACCTTCACCCCCACCCCAGCTTTCCAAGTCTCCTCCAAACCTGCCCCATCCATCATGGACTCCCCACATCTCCTCAGGGGTTCCTCCGAGCACCCCTTCCTCCGAGCACCTCAAAACTACATAACATCCCTGGATGAAGCCCCTGCACCTCTCTGCAAGTTGCCCACTTCCAATATTACTCCATGGGTTAACTATTCTCTGATCTGTAAGCCCTCCAGAGGCAAGGGCCACTTATTGTTCACTACGTCCTTGGCCCAGGGCCTCACAATAATAAATATATATAAACTGAAAACTTGTGGATATCCTAAGAAATTACCCAGCAACAGAGATTCTGAAACATTTCTTCAAAGTAGTTAAAGGATATTAAGAAAATGTTGCCTTCTTAAACATTTAATTTTTTCATGCAGAGCCATTCTCACTGTTAATCTAGTTAACATGTGATAAATACCCTTCCAGGGACACACGCGGCCTCACAGCTCTTCACTTGATGCTACTGCATTGGCCAATCACTTCTACCACATGGACAAAACCAGGCGACAGAATCCAAAGGATCCTGACAGACATTCAGAATAATGCTGTACTGTGTCTCCGCATTTTATGTGAACATGGAGCTCAAGTTAATGCCCGGGTAGACAACAGCAACAAACATTCACCCCTCCACCTGGCCATAACATATGGAACCTACCCAGTTCTCTCCATTTTGGCCCAAAATGGTGCTCAGGTCAATGCCATTAATGAATCCAGCATGACACCCCTTCACATGGCTGCAGATGTACTGAATAAGGAAATGATGGAAACGCTCATTGCATGTGGTGCAAATGTTAACTGTGCTGTCTCTTCTACCGGGAACACAGCCCTGAAGCTGGCAGTGTGTACAGCATCAAGCAAGGCAGGCCGATTGCTAGCAGCAGGGGTTAGCTGCATCCGTATGCTGCTAATTCACGGAGCCAAAGTTAATGCCCAGGACCATGAAGGTCAAACAGCTCTCCATGAGGCATGTTTTGGAGGCAGAGAGGCAATAATCAATCTCTTGCTGGAATTTGAAGCAAATGTCAACATTTTAACAAAAAACTCAGAATCTCCAATTTATATGTACCTTCAACGCAGTTCCAATGTCAGAGATACGACACTTCTTGCCAGGCTACTTCATCACACTTACCCTTTGAGACTGACCAATAAGCAAGGTATCCTACCTGCAGGAATCATGCTACCAGAATTCCACCTCTTAAAGGAAAACCTAATAAACTTATCTCAAAAACCTTTATCCCTAGAGGATATCTGTAAAAGAAACATCAGAAACGTTTATGGTGAGAAATACAAACAACACCTGAAGAAACTTCTCCCGATGAAGATGTGGAACTCTATATACTGCTGTTATGATTTAGCTTACCTCTTGAAATAAGACCTCCAGGTTCCTTAGTGCCAGAGAATTTCAACAACTCAAAATGTTTTTTCTGGCTAGACATACACCAGAAAATACATAACTCATCATCCTTACATCCCAATGTAGAAACTACTGGTTCCTAAACCCTTTTCAAAAAATAAAGTGATTTGCACATCAATTTTTTAAATATTTTTAGTTGTACATGGGCTCAATACTTTATTTATTTTTATGTGGTACTGAGGATAGAACCAAGTGCCTCACGTACAAGGCAAGTGCCTTACCACTGAGCCACAATCCCAGCCCCTGCACATTAACTCTTATGCTCCTTAATTTTCTTTTAAATGCCTTTATCACAATTTAAGTTTTGCCTGAAAAATAAACAACTTACTTTAAAACTTGTCAGCAAAAGAAGAAAATATTTTTCTTGATAGTCTTTTGTGGATTAAAAACTGGAATAGTGCTCATCATCATTTTTCAAGCAGCAAAAAATTAAACTTTCCCAGAAAGTTTATTATCTAATGCTATGATAATATATAAGCATTTCTGACAGTAAAAGTACATTCAGCATCACTAATAGTACCTGGACTCCAAGAGTAATGTTCAAATACTCTAAAATTGCTGTTTTTAATTTAATCTAAGGTTTTCTTGACTGGACCTATGCAATGATGATTTATACAGAAGTAACAATGACCTTCCAAGTATATGAACAAGGATACATCATCTCACTGTACCCAGGGAGCCCACATCAAGTCACCCCTCACATAAAGTCACCACTACTGCTTTCAAGGATTCAGATACCCAACTTACCTTCAGATCTCTGTGTACAATTCCCATGTCATGTATGTAAAATACACCTTCCACCAATTCTTGAAAAATTTTTGTTGCAACACTGGCCATAACATAAGGACCTGGAAGGCAGGGTGGGAAATAGCTTCATTTCTCTATTTTTTTAAATCCATTATATTAATATCTAAATGTTAAGGTGATTCAGACACTTAGGCAACACTCAAGTTTTTAACAAAGTCAAGGAGCTGTGGAGCACAATCTGAAGCACAAAGTCAACACAGAAAGTGTTCCTCAGCTAGAGAAGAAACCATCAGACTGGCACCCAATCCTTGATGGACTGTGTCACCTGAAAGAAAGGACCTCTAATTTCACCCAGAATCAATTTCACCCTGTATCAATTACCTTTTAAACAATTCTCAGGCATTAGATGACTAGCTTAGATATAGTTTAAGTTCCCATCAACCCTTGACATCCTGAGATCTAATGCTAATAAATCCAATTTATTAGCCCACAATATATTAAAGATATTACAAATAGTGGAATAAGATAAATTTCATTTGATTGAGAGTTTTAAATTTCTATCATCTGGAAGACTTATTTGCAAAAATGACTGACAAATGAAGTACGTGGCAAAAAGAAAAAAGTATAGGGCATGGTGGTGCAAGCCTATAATCCCAGTAACTTGGTAGGCTGAAGCAGGAGAATCAGAGGTTCGAGACCAGCCTGGGCAACTTAACCCTTAACTTAACCCTTTCCTCAAAGTAAAAAATAAAAGGGATTGAAGATATAGCTCAGTAGTAAAGCATCTTTGGGTTTCCCAGTACCAAGAAAAAAAAAAGTGAACTAATTCATCTAATTAATATTTATAAGACTAAATAAAAATTAATAAAGAAAGAAATCCTGGAGTTTGCCTGCCAATTAAGTTTAGTAATATCAAACTAAGCATTTAATAGCTCAGTCATTTTAAATCATTAACTAATCTATTGTTTACATTCATATAAAAGAACCCTGCATGTTCTTCTTGAATGAGCCTTGTTTGTTTTAGAGCTCAAACCTACTCCACACACACACACACAGAGGATAACTTTTTACAATATCTAGTTTATAATTGGGCAAGTACTTCAGAAGACAAACTACTCTCTCTCTCTCTCTGTGTGTGTGTGTGTGTGTGTGTGGTGTGTGTGTGTGGTAAAAGCAATGGTTCCATTTATAAAAGACCCCTGCTCTGACTACCTATCACACAAAAGTGATTACCATACTCCTGTCTAGATAGAAAAGTAAGAAAAGCTTTTGACTGCCACAACTATGTAGAACCACTACCTTCCTGTGGTGTCTTGAAAACATGTGGTTCTTGTTTTATCCACCCCACATCTCCAAATGGCAGGCAATAGTCACAGGATTCAAACTGGACCTGGGGGCAGACCTGGAAGACAGGGTACTGATTCTATGGCAGTAGTGTCCATTCATGCCATTTTCTGTGCCTGGCAATCTGCTACATCCTTTATATTCCTCACATTAATCCTCACAACAACCCCACACCACAGGGACAACCCACAACTGATAGATGATAGACAGACAGAGTATTCCCAGACTTGCATGGAAACTTAAAGCTGGTAAGTATAGTCAGGACTCAAATCCAGGTCTGCTGTTCCTGGGATTATTGGGAATGGTGAAATGTGAAAACAGAACTGATGTAAAGTGGGACTGGGGTCATGCCTCAGTGATAGAGTGCTTGCCTACCATTTGTGAAGCACTGGGTTCAATTCTCGGTACCACATAAAAATAAATAAGGGGTTGGGGCTGTAGCTCAGTGGTGGAGCACCTGCCTAGCACATGTAAAGCATTGAGTTTGATCCTCAGTACCACGTAAAAGTAAATAAATGTATTATGCCCATCTACAACTAAAAAAAAAAAATTAATATATAAAGGTTCATCCATAAGTCAAAAAAAACTAACATGAAGCTATGAACACAGTGTTGGACAACACTACAAAGTTAAAACTTCAAAATATTTTAAGAAGAAAACAGCCCAGCATGATGGCACATGTCTATAAGTCCAGCTACTCAGGAGGCTGAGGCTGGAGTATCACAAATTCAAGGTCAGCCTGGGGAACTAAATGAAACCTGGTCTCAAAACATAAAAAGGGCTGGAGATGTAGCTCAGTGGAAGAGCATTCCTAGGTTCAACCTCCAGTACCACCAAAAAATTAAAAATAAGTAAATATTCTGTATATGTATATATTACATAAACATATATACATATACACATATACACCATCCTAGCAGCATCATACATATTTTGCCTTTATTGTTTTAACAGACTTCTTGAACTGGATGGTAAGGATTAAAATTCTCCTGCCATACTCATTACTTATTCTCTAAATGGAAGTTTAGAGATCAGCAACTGCATATGGTGCTTCAATAAACTATGTCCATTTTCCTAAGGAACTGCACACGGCACTACAACGGTCATGCAGCAGGCTAAAGACACATACACAAGGCACTGAAAATAACCAACACACCACCTGCCACAACCGAACTGAACCAAGTGCATTCCCTCCACCTAAGTACATGGTAAACCAGAGAAGCAGCACCGGAGTGCATAGAGGAGCTTCTGGAGACATTGTTTTTGCATTGGAAGCTGGTCTCAGATTTGAGTAAGGATATCTTAGACCCAATAAAGAACAGCAAATGATTAATGACTGACATTTAGTTTTGACTTAAAATCAAGTCACTCACAGGCTGGGGTTGTGGCTCAGTGGTAGAGCAATTGCCCAGCATGCATGAGTCACTGGGTTCAATCCCCAGCCCCACAGAAAAATGAACAAATAAAATAAAGGTATTGGGTCTATCTACAACTAAAAAAATATTAAGAAAAAAATCAGATCACTCTCATCTACCATTCTGATAATCTAATATTGTGATTTTTAACTTTGGCTAGACATGAGAATCAAGTAAATTTTCCAATAAGTGTCAAAGACCAAGGTCTATCTTAGAACAATCACTCTATATAAAAATAACAGATATACTCCCAGATAGCTTTCTTTTATTTTTTTTAATCTTTATTTTGTTTATTTATTTTTATGTGGTGCTGAGGATTGAACCCACATGTGCGAGGCAAGCGCTCTACCGCTGAGCCACAACCCCAGCCGCAGCAGTTTTCTTTTAAAACAGATTTTACATTTTAAAATAATCTTGAATTTACAGAAAAACTGAAAGGATAGTACAAAAAGTTTTCATAAAACCCACACTCAGTTGTCCCCTTTTTCTTTTTTTCCCCTTTAGTGGTAGGATTGACTCCAGAGCCTTGAGCATGCTAAGGAGGCTCTCCACCACTGAGCTACATCCCCAAGCCCCCACTTCCCCTTGTTATCAACACCTTACATTAAAACGATACATTTGTCACAATGGGTGTACCAATATTGATACATAATATTACTAAATAAAGTCCACAGTTCACTCAGGTTTCCTTAGTCTTTACAGTTTCCTCTTTCTATTCCAGGACCCCAATCAGGATATACCTATCATATAACATGGAGTTGTTGTGTATCATTAGATTCCTCTGGCCTGTGACAATTTCGAAAAGTACTCATCAAGTATTCTGTAGAATGTCCTTCAATTGGGATTTTTCTACTATTTTTCCCATGATTAGATTGGGACTATGGTTTGGGAAAAGGAAGATCACAGAGATAAATTGCCATTCTCATCACATCATACCAAGGATACTCACACTAACATGACTTATCAACACTGATAGTGACTTCCATCTCTGGCTAAGGTTGTATCAGGCTTCTCCTCTGTAAAGTTACTCAACATTTTTAAAAATCCTACATGTGATTCTAAGGTGCAGCCAAATCCGAGAATCAGTGTTATATTTTTAAATATCCAACAAAGTGTTTCTAGAAGGACCTATATATATAGGGTGTTGATGGGAGGCGGGGAACCTGGATTATATAAGAAATTTTTTATAATTTTATATACGAAATTTTTTTTATAAGAACACCAATTTCAGAATTTAAAAAATGATAATAATAAAGTAAAACAAGTATTTAAATTTGTCTTAGGGCTGGGGTTGTGGTTCAGCGGTAGAGTGCTTGCCTGGCATGTGAGAGTACCATGTATAAATAAATAAACTAAAGGTCCACTGACAATTAAACAGATTTGTCTTAGAAATGTTAAAATTCTACCCAAGGGCTGGGGCTATAGCTCAGTGGCACAGCACTTGCCTCACATTGTGTGAGGCACTGAATTTGATCCTTAGCACCACATAAAAATAAACAAATAAGAAATATCCATACTACTTTCCAAATTGGCTACACCAATTTGTAGTCCCATTATTAATGTATGCATGTGCCTTTTTCCCCCACATCCTTTTTTTTAAATTTTTTTTTGTAGTTGTAGATGGACAGAATACCTTTATTATTTATTTATTTTTATGGGGTGTTGAGGATCAAACCCAGTGCCTCATGTATGCTAGGCATGCACTCTGCCACTGAGCTATAACCCCAGCCCTGTCATTATTTGTATTCTTAATTTTCTTTTTTTTTAAAGAGAGAGAGAGAGAATTTTTTAATATTTATTTTTTAGTTTTCGGGGACACAACATCTTTGTTTGTATGTGGTGCTGAGGATCGAACCCGGGCCGCAAGCATGCCAGGCGAGCACGCTACCGCTTGAGCCACATCCCCAGCCCCTATTTGTATTCTTAATAGCTGCCATTCTGACTGGAGTGAGATGAAATCTTAGAGTGGTTTTGATTTGCACTTCTCTAATTGCTAGAGATGTTGAATAATTTTTCATATATTTGTTGACTGACTGACTGTATATGATCTTCTGAAAAGTGTCTGTTCAGTTCCTTAGCCCATTTGTTGATTGGTTTACTTGTTTTTATGAGTTCTTTACATATCCTAGAAATTAATGCTCTGATGTGCGTGTGGTAAAAATTTGTTCCCATCTGTAGGTTCTCTATTCACTTCACTGACTGACTGTTTTGCTGAAAAGAAGCTTTTTAGTATGAATCCATCCAATTTATTGACTCCTGATTTTAATAGGAATTCTATTAAAGAAACTGGGGCCTAATCCGACATGATGAAGATTTGGGCCTACTTTTTCTTCTATTAGGTACAGGGTCTCTGGTTAATTAGCCAATATAGAAAGCAGTATGGAGATTCCTTGGAAAACTGGGAATGGAACACCATCTGACCCAGCTAACCTACTCCTCGGTTTATACCCAAAGGACTTAAAAACAGCATACTACAGGGACACAGACACATCAATGTTTATAGCAGCACAATTCACAATAGCTAAATTGTGGATCAACCTAGACACCCTTCAATAGATGAATGGGTAAAAAAAATGTGGTATATACACACAATGGAATATTACTCAGCATTAAAAGAGAATAAAATCATGGCAATTAAAGGTAAATGGATAGAATTGGAGAATATAATGCTAAGTGAAGTAAGCCAATCCAGGGCTGGGATTGTGGCTCAGTGGTAGTATGCTCACGTAGCATGCATGAGGCACTGGGTTCTATCCTTAGCACCACATAAAAATAAAATAAAGATATTGTGTCCCCCTAAAACGAAATAAATAAATAAATATTTTCTAAAAAAAAAAAGAAACAAGCCAATCCCCCAAAACCAAATGCCAAATGTTTTCTTTGGATGTGGGGTGAAACGTGGGAGGAACAGACAAACTTTAGATAGGGCAAAAGAGAGGAAAGAGAAGGGAGGGGGCATAGAGGTAGGAAAAATGGTGGAATGAGACAGACATCATTACCCTAAGTACATGTATGAAAATACTTTGTGTACAACTAGAGACATGAAAAGTTGTGCTTGATTTATGTAAAATTAATTGCATTCTACTGTCATATATAACAAATTAGAATAAAATTTTTTTAAATTCTACCCAAAATCATTAACCTAAATTCCATCATAGTACTCTTTCAATTTAATAAAACTTTATTACTTAGAAATTTATCTTCCAAATTTGTTCTTGCAAAATGTTGAAAAAAAGCACAACTATTTCTTTGAACTTTTTTATTGTTAGTTTTCTTATTCTTTTTTTTTTTTAAAACCTAAAGCCCCAGAGGCAATTCCTAACATTAGATGAGAAAGATCTGACTATCTTTATTTCCCCTTCAGTATTTACTATTCAGATGGTACTTACAGGCAGCTTCATCCACACATTCTTGGTTCCGCTTGTTCCTCTCGGCTATCCAGTCAAACAGGGACAGTTCACACAGCTGCATTTGGATATGCAACATCAGGTGGTACTGCACCTAGGACAGGACACACTGTGGGCTCCCATATTTGCTAATTCACGCAACACTCAACGTGCCTACTCTAGGCCAAAAACAATGGCTAAGCACTAAGGACCCAGGCCTGCCCAAGAAGCAGAACAATAACTCAATAATTAAAATAGTGTGTCATAACACAAGGAGGCAAGGGTAGGCCAGGCTAGAGTCAGTAGGAGTCCAATGGTAGAAGCTCCCGAACATGACACACGGAGGAAGCAGTTCTGAAACTGGTCTGCAAACAGTTTTTAAATCTAAGATAAAACATCAAAGAAGCTTATGTAGTACTCTATAACTCTACTGAAGTATATATACTTTAGCTTCACATAGTATATAATAACTTGATTCAAGAAAATTATAAGCAAACATTAAACTTCCTACAGCCCACTCATTTAGGCATCAAAGGAAATTTTCCAAATACAGAAATACAGAACAATGAAACAATTCTGATTAGAAGTCCTTCAAACTAAACTCCTTTGGATTCAGGTGAATCCATTCAAAGTTTTTCATTTAAAAAAAAAAAAAAAAGTTGGGCTAGGGTTGTGGCTTAGTGGTAGAGCACTTGCCTAGCATGCATGATGAGGCCCTGGGTTCGATCCTCAGTACCACATATAAATAAATAAATAAAGGTATTGTGTCCATCTACAACTAAAAATATATAATGTATATATTTAAAAAAAAAAAAAAAGCTCACACATCTGTAATCTCAGCAAGAGGAATTCAAGTTCAAGGTCAGCCTTAGCAACTTAGCAAGGCCTTAATCAACTTAGACCCTGTCTCAAAATAAAAATATCAAAAGGGCTGGGGACAGGCTGGGGTTGTGGCTCAGTGGTAGAGTGCTTACCTAGCACACGTGAGGTACTGGGTTCGATCCTCAGCACCACATAAAATAAAGATATTGTATTTCTACCTACAATTAAAAAATAAATATTTTTTTAAAAAAAGGGCTGGGGACATGGGCTCAGTGTTTACGAACTGGTATCAAAAAACAAAAACAAAAACATACATACAGACATATATATTCCTTGACAAGAATTCTGTGTTCTGTGTTGTGTATATATAGCTGAGATATACAGTTTTGCAATTCTAATGACAGATTCTGTAAAGACTTTGTTAATGCTCACTTTTTAAAATACTAATATTCAATACCAGTGATGGAAGTCTGACCAGCATATTAGTATAACCCTCAATAAGAATATTCTGAAAACTGACCTGGTAATCCTACAGGACTCATCTAAAATAAAGCTCTAAAAATAGAAAACTCTTTGCATAAATATATTTTTACAGCATGATGCTAACACACTACAGAAATAGAGTGTGAATGAGACTTCCAAGTCCAGCGCAGATATTAAAGAATGTCTAGAGAAGCAATGACCCACTAGGGAAGTCAGAAAAGGGTCATTAGTAGGAGCTAAGTGAAGGAGGCAGACCAAATATAAGGGCCATATGGCAAGAGAAAACATGGTGAGTCCAAGACTGAACACAGCGCAGAAGAGCGAGAGCAGAGACAGGGAGGCATGCCAAGTGGGAAGTCAGATGAGAAGGCAGGCCCATTACAATCCTTCATACAATTTTTAAGATACATCTCATCAGTAGGTTCTGGGAAAATGCTCTACCTCTGTCTGTCCCAACAAGTTAAAGTTTACTTCAGAAGACTCTTCAGTGGATGTGAAATTCCCTTCCAGGTCTGAATTATGCCTGACTGGCAGCTGATGTTTGACAATCGATCTGTCAGACAAATCAGCCAAGCCATTTTCCTGGAGATCAATGGATGACTCAAGTTCATTGCTGTCCCTTATAACTAAATCTGTGGTGTAGTTCACCAATTTGTTATTCTGATTTTCGATGTCACATTCTCCAAAGGGTTTTTCTTTTTCTGAGGTAAACTCAGCAAAGATAATTGACGAGCTGCTACTTTCATTGTCTTTAACATCATATTGATCCCTGGAGGAAAAAAACAGCAAAAAATAAAAGTGACTGTAAAAAGAGATCAAAAGAGTATCTCAACTGCTTCTTCAAGTCTGTAGGAATCTTATAGATAAGATTTTTGAAAAGGGTATCAAATTGTTCCAGTAGCACCCTTTATTTAACATACTAAAATACTTGAGGAGAAAGCAATTTAATATTTTTTAATAAAAATAAACAAAAAGAAAGCCTAAAACACTCCTGCCAAGCTCCCAATAGGAAAAGGCAAAGGCAAGTCAGTGCAGGCCACAGTAAACAATGTCTAATGTGCATACACCTCATACCTGTCCACATCAGAGAGCACTTCGAGAGAGGGCAACTGAATAGGAACTCTGCCTGTTGAACAAAAACAAAATATAAATATCTGCAAGCAGCCCAGTACTTCAACTTAAAGTTAAAAGCAGAGCTAAAATGTATAGATAATACCAAATGAGACTATAAGTCAAAATGAATACACCATCTTTATTAAAATAGCAGGCTTGTTTTAGAAAGTATAAAAACAGACTTGTTGTATACACCAGGAGTCAGCAAACTTTTTGGAAAACCTGAAAGAAAATAGTTTAGGTTTTGTTAACTCTAAGGGACTCAGCTGCAACCTGAATTCTGTTGTAGTGCAAAAGCAATAGGTACATAAGCCTGTGTTCTAATAAACTTTTTTATTAAGTTCCAATAAATCACATTCTGAGCTTAGATAACCCAATTTGAATTATTCATAACTCCCCAAATATTCTTTTCATTCCTTTTAACTATTTGAAAATCAAAAACCATTCTCAACTTGGAATATACAAAAACAAGGGTAGGCAAGATTTGGCTCACAAGTAGAAATATGCCAACCATTTTACTATATAGGTTAAGTATCTTTTATCCAAAATGCACAGGACCAGAAATAAATCAGACTTTGGATTTTTTCCAGATTCTGAAATATTTACACAGACTACAAAATCTAAAAAATTTTAACACTCTAAAAGTGTTGAATTTCAGAGCTTTTCAGATTTCATGTTTTCAGACATGGGATGCTCAATTTGTATAGTCAAAAATGACTTACCTTGGGGCTGGACCACATGAACATGTTCTATCCAGGCAGTATGATAGCCTACAATATTAGGGTGCTGAAGACCTGCCAGCACCTTTACTTCCCGTAGTACCTAAAGAAAATGTAAAAAGATTTTACCAGCAATTTGTTAAGTGTTTATTCCTCTTGAACACTTCTTGTTCAAGAGCAAATAATAAAAATCTCTCTGTACAAGCAATCTGAACTATGTCAATGGGGATATTCTAGTGAGAGACAAATAGTTACAGCAACTAAATAAATTTATACAGCACTTTATGTTTCGTAAAGCTCATTCATTATCATTCTCTCATCTGATTTCCTACATCAAATCAAGGTAAGTAAAAAAAACACTATAGTCAAGTGAGAGAAACAGCAACTCAGAAAATAAGGCAGTTTTCCCAGAACCACAATAGCATGTAGGGGGAAGACCTAGACAAACCGGGCTCATGCTTTATAGTAATAAATTGTACTATACACTAATCATTTACCTGAAAAATTAATTTCCCCAGCAATGACTTGAAATGTGGTAGTCTACAAAAAATTACCTTAAATAAAAATTTAGTTTTGATATTTATACTATACTACAATCTCATCTTTTAAGAGAGCAATCCATACCACCTACTATTTGCCAAATACACATATAACTCCTTTGAAAAGGAACTTAATTCACAATTATACAAAATAAATCTTTGTTTCTTTCTTTGAAATGAGGCTTGCTATGTTGCCCAAGCCCATCTTGAACTCCTGGGCACAAGTCCCACCACAGCATCCCAGCAGATGAAATGCAGGTACATGCCACCACTGGGTCTAGCTCAAAACACTTCTTAAAATCATACCTTCATGCAGTCAGTCTTAGTTGCACCCTTAATCAGAATTTTCTTAATTGCATAATGCTGGCCATCTAATTTATTCCTGACCTAAAAAGCAGAAAAGACCAAGTATTAAGTTCCAATAAATTATAAATTAATAAGTTCCTCTATTCTGAGCTTAGTTAACCCAAACTAGCCAAAAAGATCAAATTAAGCTAAAGCCAAGAATCTTTGCCCCTGTTTTCTGGGAAGTGAGTCCTACTCGGCTGGACTGCAGCTTTGTAAACTGTGTGAGTCTGACACCCAAAGATTCCAGGTCTAAAGAACAGGAACATCAGCTAACCTACCTAAGCCCCAAAATGCAGGATATTCTTTTTAGTAACACTGTGTGTGTGTGTGTGTGTGTGTGTGTGTGTTGCTGAGGATTAAACCCAGGACTTTACACATGCTAGCTCTATCCCAAAACTACATCCCCAGCCATATTAACACTTTTTTATTTTTTTAGAGAGAGAGAGAGAGAGAGAATTTTAATATTTATTTTTTAGTTTTCGGCAGACACAACATCTTTGTATGTGGTGCTGAGGATCAAATTCAGGCTACACGCATGCCAGGCAAGCGCGCTACCGCTTGAGCCACATCCCCAGCCCCAACACTTTTTTTTTTTTTCTTTTTTGTACTACGAATTGAGCCCAGGGGTACTCTACCACTGAGCTACATCCCCAGCCCTGTTTTGGATTTTTTTTTAATTTATTATTTATATATGACAGCAGAATGCATTACAATTCTTATTACACATATAAAGCACAATTTTTCATATCTCTGGTCATGTATAAAGTATATTCACACCAATTCATGTCTTTATACATGTACTTTGGATAATAATGATCATCACATTCCACCATCATTTATAACCCCTCTGCCCTACCTAGAGTTCATCTATTCCTCCCATGCTTCCTCTCCCTATCCCACTATGAATAAGCCTCCTTATATCAGAGAAAACATTCGCATTTAGGATTGGCTAACTTCACTTAGCATTATCTTCTCTAACTCCATCCATTTATCTGCAAATGCCACGATTTTATTCTCTTTTATTGCTGAGTAATATTCTATTGTGTATATATGCCACATTTTTTTTTTATCCATTCATCTACTGAAGGGCATCTAGGTTGGTTCCACAGTTTAGCTACTGTGATTGTGCTGCTAGAAACATTGATGTGGCTATGTCCCTGTAGTATGCTGTTTTTAAGTCCTTTGAGTATAGACCAAGGAGAGGGATAGCTGGGTCAAATGGTGGTTCCATTCCCAATTTTCCAAGAAATCTCCATAATGTTTTCCATATTGGCTGCACCAATTTGCAGTCCCACCAGCAGTGTATGAGTGTACCTTTTTCCCCACACCCTCGTCAACACTTATTGTTATTTGTATGCATAATACCTGCCATTCTGACTGGAGTGAGATGAAATCTTAGAGTGGTTTTGATTTACATTTCTCTAATTGTTAGTGATGATGAACATTTTTTCATTTATTTATTGATTGATTGTATATCAGGGAACAGACATTTCAGTGTCTGTTCAGGTCCTTGGCCCATTTATTGATTGGGTTATTAGTTTTTTTGGTGCTTAGCTTTTTGAGTTCTTTATATACCCTAGAGATTAGTGCTCTATCTGATGTGTGAGGGGTAAAGATTTACTCCCAAGATGTAGGCTCTCTATTCACCTCACAGATTGTTTCTTTTGCTGAGAAGAAACTTTTTAGCTTGAGTCCATCCCATTTACTGATACTTGATTTTAATTCTTGCACCACAGGAGTCTTATTAAGGAAGTTGGGGCGGCCTAATCCCACATGATGGAGATTAGGCCCAATCCTGTTTTTTATATTTTACTTTGAGAAAGGGTCTTTCTAAGTTGCCAAAGCTGGCCTTGAACTTATAATCCTCCTGTCTCAGTCTCACAAGTAGTTGTACATTTTTAATAAGAATATACCCTAAGGGCTAGGGTTGTAGCTCAGCAGTAGAGTGCTTGCCTAGCACATGCAAGGCCCTGGGTTCAATCCTCAGCACCACATAAAAATAAATAAATAAAAATAAAGATATTGTGTCCAACTAAAACTAAAAAATAAATATTAAAAAAAGAATATACCATAAAACAAAGCTCTTATGTTTTCAGAATACACCTAGTATTCTTAGAAAAATATTAAAACTTGGGCTGGGGATGTGGCTCAAGTGGTAATGTGCTCGCCTGGCATGCGGGGGGCACTGGGTCCGATCCTCAGCACCACATAAAAATAAAATAAAGATGTTGTGTCCACCGAAAAATGAAAAATAAATATTAAAAAATTCTCTCTCCTCTCTCTTTTTAAAAAGAAAAAAGAAATGAAAAATATTAAAACCTACATACTTCCCTGTAAATAATAAATCATAATGATAAGTAAATAAATGTGACATCTAGGCATTCTCTGAGTGCTTTATAATAATAATAATAATAATGAAACCAACTTCTCAAAATACACTTATTTATAGAGTAATGGGTCAAAATGAGCAAGTAGAAAACAAACCTTGTATACTCTTCCATATCCGCCTTTTCCTAAGATGGCAATTTCTTCAAATTCATTCAAGTAACGTGAAGTTTGTGCTTCAAAGGCTATTTCCCTGGATCTAAAAGTTAAATACAAACACATAATCAATATTTTTGGTTTTATTTTTGGTACTAGGGATTGAACCCAGAGACACTTTACCACTGAACTACATTCCCAATGCTTTTCTTAAATTTGAGACAGGTTCTCACTAAGTAGCTGAGGCTGGTCTCCAACTTGCAACACTCTTGCCTCAGCCTCCCAAATCATTAGGATTAAAAGTCTACTCCCCTTCAGTGGCCAAATATATAATCAATATTAAAACCTGAAACAATATGATCTAGGACAGTTCGCATTCACTGTATTATGTACAAATCTGCTGACTCATCTATTACTAAACTGCAATCATCTATTACTAAACTGCAATCATTTATAAAAATATGAACTGAAGTGGGGCTGGGGCTGTAGCTCAGTGGTAGAGCACTTGCCTAGCACATGTGAGGCACTGGGTTCAATCCTCAGCACCACATAAAATAAAAGTAAGTATCCATCTACAACTAAAATATATATATAAAATGAAGTAAAATTTTTCATTCTTTATAAAGAAAACATTGGCTAAGCAAATCAACAATGTACTGAAAATAGCAAAGGGGTCATTAAACTAATTTCAAGTCCCTTACCAGTTATAAATTACCACCAATGTTTTACAACAGAAATCCTAAGGAAGGTTACTGGACAGTAATTGATTAGGTAAACTCAGTAACAAATTTATTTAAATTACAATGCAGACCAGACATAGATTTTAAATATTTTGTAAACAGATGTTCCCTAAAAGAGATGGGGTATCAATAAGGTGAATTAACAGTGGGGCTTAACAGAATCCACACTCAATGGGGACAAGAGTTGGAAGAGGAAAGAAATGAGAAAGCAAGTCCTGGAGCAGGACTAAGCGCTAACAACACAGTCTTAAATTGTCATTAACTATCCTAGTGCAGTGGAGCACGCCTGTAATCCCAGCAGCCTAGGAAGCTGCAGCATGAGGATGGAAAGTTCCAGGCCAGCCTCAGCAACTCAGTGAGGCACTAGGCAACTTAGCAAGACTCTGTCTCAAAACAACAAAAAAAGAGCTGGGGATGTGGCTCAATGGTTAAGCACCCCTGGGTTCAATTCCAGGTTCCAAAAAGAAAAATTCACAAACTACCCTAACAACATTATTTTTTAACTCTCAAATTAATACTGATTTCTTTTGAATAGTTTAGTCTGTGCATAATCAAAGAAGTACTTAACACATACCTGATCTTCTGCATATAAGAATTATCCTCACAAGGATCCTGAAACAAAAAAAGTACTTTTAAAAAACCGTTTTGAAAAGTTTGAAATATGCAATCTTTCAAAATTCAATGTCACATTTATAGCCCCAAATACTCAAAACAATATTGAAAACAAAACCAAAAACAACTTTTGGCGATGGGTGGGGATCAGAATACCAGAGATCAAATCCAATGATGCTTAACCACTGAGCAACATCCCCAGCCCTTTTTTATTACTTTTTTTGAGACCAGGGTCTCAGTAAATTGCTTAGGATTTCAACTAAATTGCTGAGGCTGGCTTTAACTTGTGACTCTTCTGTCTCAGCTGGGGCTCATTGGTTGAATGCTCCTGAGTTCAATTCCTGGTACCAAAAAAAATAAATAAATAATAAAATGTAAATCACATTATGTCACTCCTATGCTCAAAAAATTGCAATGTGTCCCATCTTATTCTGAGTAAAAACCAAGCCCATTAAAATGGTCTCAAGGGCTAGGGATGTGTCTCAAGCGGTAGCACGCTTGCCTGGCATGCGTGCGGCCCAGGTTCGATCCTCAGCACCACATACAAACAAAGATGTTGTGTCCGCCAAAAACTAAAAAATAAATATTAAAAATTCTCTCTCAAAAAATAAATAAATAAATAAATAAATAAATAGCACGTGTGAGCCACTGGGTTCAATTCTCAGCACCACATATAAATGAATAAAATAAAGGTCCATCAATAACTTAAAAAAATATTTTTTAAAAAAAAATGGTCTCAAGGTCCTACTTCATCTGTCCCCTCCACTCCTTTCTTTCCCTGAATTTAGGTGTTCCCTCTAAATTCTCCCCTTTGCTCACTCTACTCCAGCCATAGGGATGCCTTTCAGTCCCTCACTCCCAGCCTCAGCACACTGCCACTTGCATACCCACCATGGGACCCTCCTACACTGTTCCTCTGCTTGGAATGATCTTCTTCTACATATCTGCATAGTTCATTCTCTCACCTTCAACTCTTGACTTTAACATTGTGTCAGTGAGGCCCTCCCTGGCCACCCTATGTGAAAGTTACACAGCCCCTCCCAACATCTCCAAAGCCCTTTCACTTCCTTATGTTTGTCTTTTATATTAACACCACCTAACACCTCATATATTTTTATATTTTTTCCTATTGTTTTCTGCCCTCTCATCCAAATATAATCTCCATGAGGGCAGGGATTTTGATCTATTTTGTTCAATGATTTTACCTCAGCACCTCAAAGAGTCTAACACATAATATTTCTTAAATGTTGCTGAATAAGCAAAGTTTATATTTTAAAAAACCTGACATGTAATTAGAATTTCATAATGCTTTAAAATTTAGTTCTCTATTTTTTTCATACACAGAGCACACCCATTAGGGCTTACCTGGCGAACTCGCTCTTTGGCAGACCTCATTAAATGAGTAATAGCTCTGTTGTGATGTAGTCTCAATGAGCTAAACTCATCACTGCAGGTGAAAGAAGACAGCAGCCCCATTTTGATAAAGGTCTCACAGAGTACTATAAAAGAAGAACATGCAAAACGAAGATTTTGCATTAATAAAATGGCTTGAAGATTGATTCTCAAACCGGGGAGCAACAGGTACATTAACTGATCAAGAACACATTTGTAATTACTACCATCTTAAACTGTAGTCATTTGCTATTTTGTGTTGCCAAGTATGCTATGCTTACATGCCTAGTCATTGAAGTACTAAGTTCCATTAAAAAGATGGGGGGGGGGCAAGAAAAAAATGTAAAATCTTCACACATTACATTTTGTTGATAGGCAATAAGATAATAGAGATAGGAGAAAAAAACATAAGAAGTAACAACAGAAGTGAGTATTAACTGTTCTTTTCTGTTACAGAACATCTTAAGCTAACATGCAAAGAGCACAGTAGATGTATATATAGTCCAAATACCAGGCTCTTCAGAAAAAGAAGTTTCTACAGAGATGCCCTGGCTTTTACTCATGAGAAATACAGATATCATAGAGGATATTCTGTTCACACTCAAAACTCTCCACTGAGATCAAGTAACTGAATCACAGCAAAAATATTTATTTAGGAACATTTATTCTATAGAATTGAGATGTTGCTTGATTCTAGAATCACAAAATTATTGTGGGGCAGGTCACTAAGAAAACATACCACGTCCCAGTTTTGTCCAAATTTTGTCTTTATCTAGCCAGCCAGCCAATGACTGGCCCCTGCAGGACCCATAACTATCTCTGCAAGGAATAGCCCCAAGCCTGAACATTTTAGGATATTTATATATATAAGACAAAAACCACATTCAGGTTGATCAGCTGCAAGCAAGCAGGTACAGAAGCTGAATTGGGCAGTTAGTGGGACAATGCGTTGGGTACACTGGTATTTCCCATGGGAATTCCCAGGTTGGCATAGCAGCAAGCAAGCAGAAAGGACATGGGTCAAAATGACCCTAGTTCAGTACAAGTTAGAGAATAGTTACTAACATCTAGACAATCTCTGACAAGGTATACTGCCCAAGAAAAATAGAAACCAAAGAGAACAATTTTACATAAGAAAATTGCTATAAGAATTGCTATTTTGGGGCTGTGATTAAGGCTCATTGGTAGAGAGCTTGCCTTACACACATGAGGCACTGGGTTCAATTCTCAGCACCACATATAAATATGAACAAAATATAGGTCCATCAACAACTTAAAAAAAAAAGTGCTATTTTGTGTTGCCAAGTTTGCTGTGCTAGGTAACTCTTAATGGGTACAGAGGTGGGGCTTTCCCATGGGAGAAGCATTGCTTACATGAAATGTAATCTTAGGGTAAAATGGAGTTTGTTTGGTCATTGCCCATATAGCCCGACCCATAACAAAAATAAAGCCAACTAGAATCTTCTCTAAAAAATTAGAGTTTTTAAAGTTCAGTAATCTAAAAATGCTGTATATAAGGGATTCAAAATTATCTTAAAATTAGGCTGGGGGCGTAGCTCAGTGAACAAGGCCCTGGATTCAGTTCCCACAATCACCAAAAAGAACAGTAAGATTACAAATCTGTTTTCACTATAAGCAATGTTACTGCAGCAACATTATTATAACTTACTTTCTATACCATGAATCTAATGCAATAAACCCTAGGAACCAGGGTTCTGGAACCTAAGAATCACCTCTTATGCCCCCCACATATGCCACTGCTTAGAATGTACAGTATAAGATTTGCTTTTATTGAGAAAATAATGAATGTACACTATACAAACATTTTTACTACTTTTTATGTCCCATCAAGTTTACAAAAATGAGAACATCTTTTAACTAAAATATATTAAGTTCTAAGACCACATAAATGTATAAGTTTGAGAATTTCTAACACCAAACAAGACCTGCGAAGACCTTTTTAGTAGAAAAGAACCTCAGAATCTGTGACTGGAGATATTAAAGCAGCTACAATGGTCTCAAGTCAATAAACAACCAGCTGGGCGCGGTGGCCCATGCCTATAATTTCAGCTGCCCTAGAGGCTAAGGCAGGAACAGTGAAAGTTTGAGACCAGTCTAGGCATTTTAACAAGACCCTATCTCAAAATGAAAATTAAAAACGGCTGGGGATGTAACTTACTGGTAGACCACCTCTGTGTTCAATCCCCAGTACTGCAAAATGGAAAAAAAGTGCTGAACCAGAAACATCATCTATAATTCTATTCACTTTTTGGCTCAAGTTTCTCATACAAGTACCCTATGGTAGGAATAAAAAACATTTTCAACAACACAATATGCAGCTATTCTAGTTCTCTGGTCTGGTCAAGAACTGGTTCAGAATGCATACATGTGATTTTCTTTTAGCTGCATGTCAACCAAATCAAAACAGATCTTCAAAAATCATATGAATATCACATTATACTACAGATACGAAAGAATGCTCTTTTAGCTGAGAGCAGTGGCACACTCATTTCCAGCACCTCGGAAGGCTGAGGCAGGAGGATCGAAAGTTTGAGGCCAGCCTCAGCCACTTAGTGAGACCCCATCTAAAAATTTAAAAAATCAAAAGGGCTGAGGAGGTAGCTCAGTTTTAAAGCACCCCTGGGTTCAAGCCCCAGTACCCAAAAACAAAAACCAAAAAAAGTCTTTTATTTATGCAATTACATGCAATTTCGGAGCCCCAGGAGTTACCCAAAGAAAATATGAATTTAAGGGATGTAAATTATTCACACTTAATATTGACTCAATTTTATACACCAGCTGTTTCTTGGACCCACATTAAACAATATAGTGTTTTCATAAGCTTTACTTAGCAAGATCAAGTTATTTTTACTTACATTTAAACACTTGTTTTGATCGACGTACGTTTGGTTCATGAACATGACTCAAGTGTTCCAGCAAAGAAACAAGCAGTAGCTGGTTTGCAACTGCAAAAGGGAAAGTTGGCTGTTGTAGGGGTTCTTTTAACACCTGGAGTTCTGCTGGCACATCAGATTCTAAAAATTTTAAAGGAAAAAATTATTGGTAAACATGTCTCAAAATGAAAAAAACAGCATACTCCAATTAATGAAATACAAATTATTTAACTGAAGAGAAATAAAAAACAAAAGAGTAGTCATGCTAAGTTGAGTTAAGAAAAGCAGGCTTTGTGGAAGTGAGTTTCAAGTTGAATTTTATAAGATGGAGGACCAGTAGCAAGATGTCATGAGGCAGAAGGGAAACAGTTTTGGTAGCAATGATATGTACAATGGAAGGAAAAAAACAAAATGATTTTAAAGCAAATAAGCAAGCAAGTGTAGAATAGGATGGCCTCCATCCTCTGGGGAGCAAGCATAAAGAAAGAAGGCTGACAAAGGAGAGAAGGAAAGAAGGATGGAAACTACTGTGAACACATGATTGCATATGTACAGGTGTTGTACGTGTGTAATCTCTTCTTTTTTGGTACTGGAAATTGAACCCAGGGGCACTTAACCACTGAGCCACATCCCTAGTCCTTTTTTATATTTTATGCAGAGACAGGGTCCCACTGATTCGCTTAGGGCCTTGCTAAATTGCTGAGGCTGGCTTTGAACTCGCAAACTTCCTGCCTTAGCCTTCCAAATTGTGCGCCACTGCACCCAGCTTCTTCTAATTTTTAAAAAACAATATAAAGTGTTACCATCACCATTTTTTACAGACATTTTTTACAGATGAGGACACTGATCTAAGAGATTAAGGACTAGCAAATCAGGCAGGTTAGCCTGACTCCCAAGTTCACCCTCTCACCACTATGCAAGATCAAACAGACAGATGAGCTGGCACTTCAGTTGAAGGTCATACGTTCTCACTAATGGTTTATTTAATAAATTATTGAACAGGTAAAAAACATAATAAAGGAAAAATACTTGAAGACACCATGATGGTGGTCTGGAAGGAGGCAGGAAGTAAACAAGGGAAGATGTGGATAAACTGAGTAAAGGAGGTAAGTTATAGAACCATTGAGAGCAGGATTTAAAACACTAGGAATGGGGAGGAAGAGGTATTAATGAGTGTGAAAACTTGTAAGAGGAGCTGTCAGAGGAAAGATGAGACACATCAATTCTCAACAGTTGTGGATGCATTCAATTGGAAATATCCTGCAGGCAGATGACTGTGTATCTTTTATACCTTCAAAAACTGGCACACACCTGTAATCCCAGTGACTTTGGGGGCTGAAGCAGAAGTATTGTGAGTTCAAAGCCAGCCCCAGCAACTTAGCAAGGCCCTAAGTGAAATCAGAGAGACCCTGTCTCTACATAAAATATAAAACAGGGCTGGGGATGTGGCTCAGAGGTTAAGCGCCCCAGGTTCAATCCCTGGAACCAAAAAAGTAAAATAAATAAATAAAATTGGCCCATTTCAAATATTCTGTTCCACTCTCCTCTATCAACCACTAAATGTCCTGGAAGACCAGACATTTTCAAATCCAGTCTTTATTTATCAATTTCTTCTCTGATCTGTAGGTAGGGGGGGACACACCCGCATGACATTCTTGTAGCAGATGTGCTATTCATTTTAAATAAATACTTAGTTGTTTGAGTATGGGAAAGAAAAAAAATGAAAAATGTGGCCTCACAAAAACTTCCTTATGTGAAGACATCTTAAAAAAAAAAAAAAAAAAGCAAGAAACACTGTTGTATATCTTTATTTATTTATTTTCAGTGTCAGGGATGAAACCCAAGCCTTCATGAATGCCAAGCAGACACACTACCACTGAGCCACATCCCCAACCCATATAAAGACATCTTAAAATACAAATCACAAATTCAGACACAGTACTTATGTCTGTATTATGCATGACAAGAAAAGGAAATAAAACTTACATAGACGTCTCACAAGCTAATAAAAAGCACAATTAAAATTTAACAGGTTTAATGTAACTGGTAATTAATGACATACATATTAAAATATCTAAGGCACTAGAGTCTGTTCATCACATTGGTAACTATTTAAAGCCTGAAATACTTGGTATTGCCAAGGGCACAGAAAAAGCAGGCATGGCTGGGTGTGGTGGCAAATGCCTGTAATCCCAGCCACTGTGGGGCCTGAGGCAAAAAAAAAATCACAAGTTTGAGGCCAAGCCTGGGCAACTTACCAAGACACTGTTTCAAAATAAATAAATAAAATAAAAAGAGATAGGGAGGAGTTAGCTCAGTGGTGGAGTGCCTGGATAGCATGAGCAAGGCCCTACATTCAATCTCCAGGGCAAAAAAAGAGGAGGAAAGAAAAACAGGTATGTTCAAACACAAGAGATACGAAAGTGTTTACAACATTTGACAATACAACTGTAGAACTTGAAAAGTGCAAACCTTTGATCTATCAAAGCACAACAAAAATGCATACAAGACATTCAGTAAGATACTGTTTAGAATACTGAAAATTTTTTAAAAATTAAATATATACAAAACACTACTATGCAGCAGTTAGAAATGGTAGTGTATAGAAAGATAATCATAAGGTTTATTATCAAATCAAAGAAGCAAGCTATAAAACAATACTAAGAAAAAAACAATTAATACTAATGAAGGTAACATGAGACAGTTTTATATGTGGGAGTACATGCCAACATAACCTTCCCTATCATCACTGTATCAAAAATCTTAAACATACAAAAAAGTAAAAAGAAAAAAGGGGAAAAAACTAACCACGTTACTTCTTTGATCCAACAATCCTACTTCTATGGATTTATTCATGGATTTATTCTGAAGAAATAATCAGACAGTACAAATATATGAAAACAAATCCCACCACTATGTATGACTATAACACATCAATAAAAAATAAATTTTAAGGGCTGGGGATATAGCTCTGTTGGTAGACTGCTTGCCTCACATGCACAAGGCCCTGGGTTCAATCCTCAGCACCACAAAATAATAATAATAATAACAATAATTTTTAAAAGAATAATAATGACAAAGATTTATGTATGTATACAGGTACATGGAGTATGTATGTATATAAGCGTCCAACAGTATTATTTCTATCATTTTTTATACATTATTTCTAACGATAAAAAAGACAAATCTTTTTCAACAATAGAGCACAAAACTAAATTAACAATAGTATGAATGTTACACAGTCTTATTTGTAAAAGAGCAAAAATAAATGATACTACAAATGGTATACCATCTAGTTTTGTTTCATTAACAGTATTGGTGATTGAACCCAGGGTCTCACACAGGGTCTCTACCACTGAGCTACACCTCCAACCCTTTTTATCTTTTATTTTAAGACAAGGTCTTACCATATTAGTAGGGTTGACCTCAAAGATGCAATCCTCCTGCCTCAGTCTCCCAAGTGGTAGAGACTACAAGGCACACACCACCATGCCTCCTTGATCAAAAATCTAAAATGCATTTACTTTATAGTTAAATAAATACACAAAAATTTTGAAAGCTGGAAAGAACAAAACAGACTAAATTTCTGTCCCCTTGTTTTTAACGATATAGCTACAGATTTTGTAAAAGAAATTAAATTATATTATAATGCTGTTTTATAGTCTGACTGTTCCAAATATATAATATAGTATGGAGGACAGTGACTGGCATACAGCTCTCAATAAATACCTGGAAATAAATATATCAAATTGTTTCTCTTTCTTCCTTTTATTTATTTAGTTAGTTAGTTATTTGTTTTCTTTATTTCTCTTTTTTTTTGCAGAGCTAGAGATCAAAACCTGGGCTTCTCCCATGCCAAGCAAAAGTTCTACCACTAAGCTATACTCCCAGCCCAAAATATCAAATTGTTCACAGTGAGTATTCCTCTGGGATGTGAGTATAGGCAATTACCCTCCCAACCCCTTTTTTTCCTTTATACTTTTAAATCTTTGTGAATGTATTTCAACAAAATTAGATGGAAATCATCAATCCATTTCTGTTACCTTTCTTGGACAAACATTTTAAAATGTGAAATCATTAATAAAAACTGTCTTTAGCTACACCAAAATGTAAACCATAGCCTCTGGATGATGAGATTATGGTTTTTAAATCTTCATGCCTTTCTATATTCTAAACATTCTGTTAATGTAAAAACTTCTCCCTGACCCCCATACTGGGGATTGAACCCAGGGGCACTTTACCCCTGAGCTACATTCCCAGGCCTTTTTAATTTTTTATTTTGAGACAGGATCTCACAGAGTTGCCAAAACTGGATTCAAACTTTTGATCCTCCTGCCTCTGCCTCCTGAGTACCTGAAATTACAGTGCTGTGCCACCATGCCTGGTAAAATTTTTAAAAATATGTACGCTTAAGGGGATTGAACTCAGGGGCACTTCAACATTGAGCCACATCTCCAGCCCTATTTTGTATTTTATGTAGAGACAGGGTCTCACGGAGTTGCTTAGCACTCACTTTTGCTGAGTCTAGTTTAGGATCTAGTTTAGTGATCCTCCTGCCTCAGCCTCCTGAGCCACTGGGATTACAGGATAGCGCCACCACGCTGGGCTCGTACGCTTAACCATTAAAGTGGTAAGACTGTGGATAGGAGGGTTGTCTCCTTCTTTATACTCTTAGTTTTCCCCATTTTATACAATGAGAAAATTCTATCTTATTTACTTATCTACCTTTTTACATCTGGGGATCAAACCCAGAGCTAGGGATATGCCAGGCAAGCAGTCTGACAATGAGCTATATCCCCAGCCCAGAAATTCTACTTTTTAATATAAAGAAATAAAAGAGAAAAGTTGGTCATTTTTCAAATGAGCTTTTAATAATTCAAGAAAATGGACAACATTTAAAAGACCAGAGGAAAGATATTCAAATGAGTAAAATGGAAAAGAAAGAAAGGCTGAAGCTGAAAGATTCCCATTTCACAGTACTGGTTATGAGTAGAAGAGAAAAAGGAAAGTAGCAAAGAGGTAAAGTTCTCATAAAATGGTAAGAAATAAGACACAAATACTAGGGCTGGGGTTGTGGCTCAGCGATGGAGTGCTCGCCTCACACATGGGAGACCCTGGGTTCAATCCTCAGCACCACATACAAAAATAAACAAGTGAAATAAAGGTGTTGTGTCCAACTACAACAAAAAATAAAATTAATAAAATTTAAAAAATAAAAAGATAGACACTAGATGAATTCGAGATCTAGACTTCTGCCAAGCAGGATGGGAGTATACAAACAGGAAAGGGATCATCTAATTTAATCTCCCCAGGAGAAGCGGAAGACAAGCCCAGAAGATAAACTTGTAATAACTTTTTCTTTTTTCAGTTGTAGATGGACACAATATCTTTATTTTATTTATTTATTTTTATGCAATGCTGAGAATTGAACACAGTGCCTCACACATGCTAGGCAAGCACTCCACCATTGAGCTACAATCCCAGCCTCCCTGAAATAACATTTTTTAAAAACTGTCAGATGAAGAGAATGAATGAAACCATGGGCTTACTGCTGGCCCTCTTTATTGAACCCAGGGCCTCCTGCATGCCAGGCAAGTGTTCTACCACTAAGATATATCCCCAACTCTTTTCATTTTATTTTTGAGACAAGATCTTGCTAAGTTACCCAAGCTGGCCTCAAACTTGTGATCCTTCTGCCAGAGCATCTTGAGTAATTGGGATTACAGATGTGTGCCACTGTGCCTAGCTCCTGGTATTCCTTATGCTCACAAAAAGAAAACCTACAAAAACTTTATCAAAGGCAGATGTTGGTTTTAAAGAGAACAAGAGAGAAGAAAAATTTTTAAAGTTTATCTAAGATCACTCCCTTCAAAAGTAATCTTTGGTTTGCAGAAACGCTTATCACAGAAAGAAACTTGCATGTTTACAGCTGGGGCTTACCCTATGACATAACATGTTCCACAGTATTGAGCTGCTGTTAATATACCACCTAAAGTGAGGGGGGGGGGGAATCTATGTATCTATTAAAAAACTGTTATCTTACAAATTTCCTCTGTAAAACTCTACCTAAATTACCACCACGGTCTGCTTTTTTTTTTTTTTTTTCATTGTAGTAAAGCATTACAGGCAGTATTAGGAATGAAAATGCAAGGACTTTTCCAAAACCTTTTCAACTCAATTTGCACTTTTAAATCCACTGCAACAAAGTAATATTTATTCCATGCTTCAACTGAATGTGTATTCTCTGTAGTCATTTTATTAGGAATACTGTATAGTTAAAACTTCTTTGAGTCCTTGTCCGTTTTGGTGCTGGGGATTGAACTCAGGGTCTCATTTATGCTTAAACACCAGCTGTATCACTGAAGCTTTCAGCCCCAGCCCCAATGTATTCATTCTTGATACCACATTTAATTTTTAAAATTGTCCAAAAAAAACTGGCAGCAACTAACAACCCTGCCAGTGCAACTAGCAACCCTGCATTTTCAGTAAAATAGTAGAGTCCTTGTTTTAGGACCTCTCACTTTATGCTAGTTGACTTAAGTAACGCCATCTAATAACCAAAAGCCTCAAGAAAACGGGCATTTCCACTGCCTCACTGTGAGAAATCATCATTCTATTACTGATGCAAAACTACAAGCTACAAATTGCGTCTCCTAGCCCAAACTGTTCTGCATATAGTCTGCAGAACAAAGATCATTCTCAACGACTGACCAAACCACACAGCGTAAGAGCTGGAAAGTGGCCACCTGAAAGTCCTGAGCCATCCAAAGGCCTCAGTCCGCAAAAAGGAAACCAAGGAGCAGAAATGTAAACAAACAAGCAGATCGGAGAAGCTTTTTCAATAAATATTTACCTTACCCTGACTGCCCGCACGCCACCCCGGGTGCAGCCCGGAGGCAGCTGAACTAACCCAGGTACTGAAACGACCGCTGCCGACGCCGAACTGCACTGAACCGCGGATGGTCAGGGGACAGCCAGACGGCGCGCGGCAGCGGGTTCACTCACCATCATACTTGGGATCCGAGCCCTCGGCCGGAAAGTCGATAGCGGGCGGCGAGACTATAGCTCCCGCCCGGGCGCCCTCGGCTTTGTCCTCCCGGGCCCCAGAGCCGCCCCCCAGCATCTCCAGCCGCGCGCGGGCCTCAGCCCCGCCCGCAGGCTTGCCCAAAACCACTTATGCTCGCCACCAGCAGCGATCAACGCAGACCCGGAAGTAGCGCCTCGCTGGGCGGAAGTCCCGCCCCTGCCTCCCTGGCGCCGCCGGAGGGGCGGACTCAGTGCAGACTCCGCCCGGTCCCACGTCCTGGCGAGTGCGCCCAGTAGGTTATTCTAGGGCCTCGCTGGTTCTGGGTGCATGGTTGCACTGAGTGTGTGGGTGTGCTGCTGCCAGTCTTCCCTCCCGGAAGACTTGAGTCTGTGCAGACGAGTTTTAACACATCTCACTCCAAGAGTCAGGCGTCAGTGTAAAAATTATTTGTCTGAGAGACTAATTAGAAATATTTAATTTTTGTGGGTACAATGCTGAATTTTTTTTGGGTGGACACAATATTCTTATATTTATGAAGTGCTGAGGATCAAACCCAGTGCCTTATGCGTGCTAGGCGAGCACTCTACCACTGAACCACAACCCCAGCCCCCTGGATTTATTTTTGTAAACCGTTAAGCCACAATCAAGTAGGAAATGCCAACTTGATCCCAGAGTGAATTTAACCTTACAGAAATAACGCTGGTTTGGGGACTGCATTTACAATTGAAATGTTTTCAAACCTGAATACTTATTCCCATGTGACCTCCAGGCCACCCTGGATCTACTGTTTTGAAACCCTCAGGTTCAAAACCCCATCATCCCCCATCTGCAGCTGACCCTGGTGACTCAGTCCCTAACACAATGCTTTTGAAAATAATCCATAAGGAGATCTTGGATTAGATAAATACAGTTGTGATAGTCTTTACGACTTGAGACCTTGAACTCAATGCGATGTAGAAAACTGGTAATGTTGAATTTTTTTTATTTGAACAATACATTCCATATACTGGATGTGTTAAGGATACAGTTCTCTAAAACTTCCCATGCCTTGCTAATGTTCTGGGAGAAGACCGCCTTTTTTAGAGAGTGCTTTAACTATATGTAGCCACAATTTAAGAAAGCAAATACCCCTGTAATCTCAAGGACTCAGAAGGCTGAGGCAGGAGGATCTCAAATTTGAGGCCAGGCTCAGCAATTTAGCGAGACCCTGTCTCAAATAAAAAGGACTAAGTATTTGGCTGCATGGTAAAGCTCCCCTGGGTTCAATCCCTGATACCAAACATTTTAATTAATCACTTTAAGAAAAAAAATATCTTTGACTCAACAGTTCCACTTTCAACCCAGAGACAGTTCCAAATGTTTGTAATCCCAGCAAGAAAGACTGAGACAGGAAGATGCCAAACTCAGCAAGTTAGCAAGACCCTTAGCAATCTAGCAAGGGAATGCGGCTCAGGGGTAAAGTGCCACTGGGTTCAATCCCTTGTATCAAAAAGAAAGAAAAAAAAAACAGTTACACTTTCAGGAATTTATTCTAAGTAAAAGGTTAAGAATGAACAAAAAAAAAAAAAAAGAGCTGGGCATGGTGGTGCACACCTGTAATCACAGCCACTCTAGAGGCTGAGGCAGGAGTGTCACAATTCAAAACCAGCCTCAGCAATTTAACAAGGCCCCAGGGAACTTTGAGAGACCCTGTATTGAAGATGATGATGATGATGATGATGATAAAAGCCTGGGGATGTGGCTCAGTGGTAAAGTACCCTGGGTTCGATTCCCAGTACCAAAAAAATTTTTGTAATCCCAGCAACTTAGAAGGCTGAGGCAGGAGGTTCGCAAGTTCAAAGCCAGCCCCAGGAAAAAAGAGACACTAAGCAACTCAGTGAGACCCTGTCTGTAAATAAAAATACAAAATGGGTTGGGGATGTGGTTCAATGGTCAAGTTCAATCACTTGTACACTCCCACAAAAAAAGTTACTGGGTGATTTCCAACTCTGGGGCTCCTTCTTTTCAGAAAAAGTCTCTGTATCTCTGTTGCCTTTGCAATAAAACTACTTTAAAAAGAAAAAAGAGTGAGAGAGAGAGTTATTGGGCCAGGTGCACTAGCACACACCTGTAATCCCAGCAACTCAGGGAGCTGAGGCAAGAGGATACCAAGTTCGAAGCCAGCCTCAGCAATTTAGCAAGACTGTCTCAAAATAAAAAAATAAAAAGTATTGGGGGGCACTGGGTTTGTGGCTCAGAGGTATAGCACTCACCTAGCATGCGTGAGGCACTGGGTTTGATCCTCAGCACCACATAAAAAATAAAGTAAAATAAAGATATTTTTCCACCTATAACTAAAAAATAAATATTGAAAAAAATAAAAAGGATTGGGATATAGTTCAGTAATTAAGCAATAAAAAGTAAAAAGGACTGGGAGTGTAGCGCCCAATGTTCAAAACTCAGTGCAAAGAAGCAAAAGTTTTGGGGGCTAGTGATATAACTCAGTGGTTGAGTGCTTGCCTAGCATGTGCAAGGCCCAGGTTTTAATCCTCAGTGAGGGTAGGGATTTGAGATCCTCTAGGGAGCTGAGGAAGGAGAATTGAAATTCAGGGCCAGCCTCTCTAATTCAACAAGTCCCTGTCTCAGAGTAAAATATACAAATGAAGGGAATATAATTCAGTGATAGAGCACCCCTGGGTTCAATACCTTGTCATAAATAAATAAATAAATAAATTTATTGGGGCTGAGCATATAGCTCAGTGGTAGAGCACTTGTCTTAAGCATGTACAAGGCCCTGGGTTTGGTCCCCAGCACTGCAAAATAAGAATGAAAAACTTAATCATAACACTGGTTATAATACTAAAGATAATATGTTTGGCTAACTAATTTAGGAACACACTCTATATGCATTAAAAATGTCAGTAAGGGGCCTGGTGTGTAGCTCAGTGGTTGCTCCATGTAAAGTTCTGTGTTCCATCCCCAGCATTGCAGCACAACAACAAAAATATTGTTTGTGTCCCTCTTATTTTAAATTCTGAAAAAAAAACAAAACTGTTTATGTGCAATATCTGGTTCTCACTGCTTTTCTGCCATAACTGGAAATGCCTAGTAATATTGATGTTATGGGGAAAAAGCAACTCATTCAAGTGGATATATATAAATGGAGTAAACTAGAAGACACTGTGTAATTTATACTTAAAACTGTTATTTGTTTATTCATTCATTTATTTTTTGGGACTGGGGATTGAACCCAGGAGCACTCTACCACTGAGTCACATCCCCAGCTCTTTTTTGAGACAGGGTCTTGCTAAGTTGCCCAGGCTAACCTTGAACTTGAGATCTTTCTGTCTCAGTCTTGCAATTCCCTGGAATTACAGGCACGCATCAGCATGCTGGGACTTGAAATGTTTTAAATAGATTTCCTTGCATGGCATGGTGGTGCAGGCCTATAATCCCAGAGGCTAAGGAGACTGAGGCAGGAGGATTACCAGTTCCAGGCCAGCCTCAGCAATTTTAGCAAGGCTCTAAGCAACTTAGTGAGACCCTGTCTTAAAATAAAATTTAAAAGGCTGGGGAATATACCTCAGTGGTAAGGCACCTCTGGGCTCCCCAGTATTATTACCACTACTACTACTACTACTACTACTACTAATAATAATAATAATAATAATAATAATAATATAATATTATTATTTTCCCTTTCACCTATATATAGGAGCATATCCAAAGTAAATAATCAAGTTGGGCACAATGGCACAGACTCTAATCTCAAGGATTTGGGAGGCTGAGGCAGGAAGATCACAAGTTTATCCAAATCCTATCTCAAAATAAAAAATAGAAAAAGACTAGGGGTGTAACTCAGTGATAAAGTGCCCCTGGTTTCCATCCACAATAAGAAATAACATAAAAAATCAGAGTATCATATAAAAATGAATCTGTAAATTCATCTGCCAGGCCTGGTAGGGCACACCCAGCAACTGCAGAGACTGAGGCAGAAAGATCACAAGTTCAAGGCCAGCTTTGACAATTTGGTGAGACACTCAGCAACTTAGTGAGACCTTGACTCAAAATAAAAAAGGAAAGGACTGGGGATGTAACTCAGTGGTAAAGTGCCTCTGGATTCAATCCCCAGTACCAATGTGGGAGGTAGGGGAGAAGAGCAATGAAATAAAGCCAAATTGCAAATAAAAGAGTAATTGCCATATATCTATGCTGTGAAACTTTATGTGGTCATTAGAAAACTTGAAAAGGAAGCACGTTCTTCTCTTGCCTTCTATGACATCATATTCTTCTGGTTTTCCTCTTTTTTACTGGTCCTTCATTCGGGATCCCTTACTAAAATCTCCTTTTCCAAATGTGTAATTCTGTAGGACTCTTGTTATCTCTGTCCAAGAGATAACCAGGGGCTTTACTATACTTAGAATACCACCTACAAGCTAACAACCCTCAAATGTATGTCTACATCACAGATGTATTCTCTTGGATGCCTCAAGAGTATCTCAAATTCCTAAAAAGTTTTTTTTTTGTTGTTTTGGTTTTTTTTTTTTTTTTTTTTTTTTTTAACGGGGATTGAACCCAGGGGCATTTAACCACTGAGCCACATCCTGGTTCTTTTCATTTTTTATTTTGAGACAGTGTCTCACTAAATTGCCGAGGCTGGCTTTGAGCTTCAGTTCTCCTGCCTAAGCCTCCAGAGTTGCTGGGATTACAGGTGTGTGTCACCATGCTCGGATATAAAAAGATTCTTTATTTTCCTTCTAAAAATTGTTTTTCATTATCCTTCTTTATCCAAGTAAATTGCATATAATCCATCCATTTTTCCAAGCCTAAAAACTGGCAGCCAATCTTTATACTATATCCAGAAATATTTGGCTGTCTATAAATTAATTTGTTTTAAAAAAAAAAAAAGACAGAAAAGAAAGAAATATAAGAAGCTGAGGAATGAGGCTCAGTAGTAAGAGTGTTCACCTGGCATGCATGAAGCTTTGGGTTTCTCTCCCCAGCATCACAAAAAAAAAAAAAAAAAAAAGAAAGAAAGAAAAAGAAAGAAGGAAAAAGAAACATAATACAGCATAGAAATCTGCAATATTAAACATAAAGGTAACCGAAGAGGAACCCCAAGTAGCCAGTAAACATAGCAAAAGATGCATAAATTTCACTAGTTACAAGTAAATGCAAAATAAAAAATGAAATATTACATTTGCAAAATTAAAGT